TTGGGGGCCAAAAAGGGGCCAAAAATAAGCATTTTTCTAGTTTCCAGACAATAACTTGTGTTCAAGTGTATGGATCTCTCTGAAATTGTACTGCAAGGTACCATACCACAAAGGGAAGGCTGAGATTGAGTTTGGGGGTGATGAATCATAAGGGGGTTCAAAAAATTTGGGGGGGGGGGGGGGGGGGTTTTTTTTCTTTTTTTCCTTTTTTTTTTCTTTTAAAATTTAAAATTTTAAGTTGGTTATTTCTGATTTATATTTAAAAGCAAATAATAATGATATGGTAGGAGATACACACCAAACAGGATGTGTAAATTATTATATAATAAGTATTGTGCAATAGCAAGAAATTTTCAATTGCACAGTATTGCACAATAGCAAGAAATCTTCAATTGCACAGTATTGCGCAATAGCAAGAAATCTTCAATTGCACAGTATTGCGCAATAGCAAGAAATATCCAATAGCACAATATTGCGCAATAGCAAGAAATTGTCAATTGTACAGTATTGCGCAATAGCAAGAAATAATCAATTGCACAGTATTGTGCAAAAGAAAATACTTCGTATAAATTGCTTATTTCTTGATCAATTTCAATGGGGTTTTATTCTTGAATTCTTGGGGTTCTTTAAATATGCTGAATCTAACCGTGTATTAAGTTTTTGGATTTTGGGCCCCGTTTTTAAATTGGTCCACATTGAGGTCCAAAGGGTCCAAAATTTAACTTTGTTTGATTTCATCAAAAATTGAATTATTGGGGTTCTTTGATATGCCGAATCTAACCATGTATTTAGATTCTTAATTTTTGGTTCTGTTTTCAAATTGGTCTACATAAAGGTCCAAAGGGTCCAAAATTAAACTTAGTTTGATTTCAACAAAAATTGAATATATGGGGTTCTTTGATATGCTGAATCTAACCATGTATTTAGATTTTTGATTATGGGCCCAGTTTTCAAGTTGGTCCAAATCGGGGTCCAAAATTAAACTTTGTTTGATTTCAACAAAAATTGAATATATGGGGTTCTTTGATATGCTGAATCTAACCATGTATTTAGATTTTTGATTATGGGCCCAGTTTTCAAGTTGGTCCAAATCGGGGTCCAAAATTAAACTTTGTTTGATTTCAACAAAAATTGAATATAAGGGGTTATTTGATATGCTGAATCTAACCATGTATTTAGATTTTTGATTGTTGGGCCCCGTTATCAACTTTGTCCACATTGAGATCAAAAGGGTCCAAAATTAAACTTTGTTTGATTTCATCAAAAGTTGAATATATGGGGTTCTTTGATATGCTGAATCTAACCATGTATTTAGATTTTTGATTATGGGCCCAGTTTTCAAGTTGGTCCAAATCGGGGTCCAAAATTAAACTTTGTTTGATTTCAACAAAAATTGAATATATGGGGTTCTGTAATATGCTGAATCTAACCGTGTATTAAGTTTTTGGATTTTGGGCCCCGTTTTTAAATTGGTCCACATTGAAGTCCAAAGGGTCCAAAATTTAACTTTGTTTGATTTCATCAAAAATTGAATTATTGGGGTTCTTTGATATGCCGAATCTAACCGTGTATTTAGGTTCTTAATTTTTGGTTCCGTTTTCAAATTGGTCTACATAAAGGTCCAAAGGGTCCAAAATTAAACTTAGTTTGATTTTAACAAAAATTGAATTTTTAGGGTTCTTTGATATGCTGAATCTAAACATGTATTTAGATTTTTGATTATGGGCCCAGTTTTCAAGTTGGTCCAAATCGGGGTCCAAAATTAAACTTTGTTTGATTTCAACAAAAATTGAATATATGGGGTTCTTTGATATGCTGAATCTAACCATGTAAATAGACGTTTGATTTTTGGGCCCTGTTATCATTTTTGTCCACATTGAGATCAAAAGGGTCCAAAATTATACTTTGTTTGATTTCATCAAAAATTGAATTCTTGGGGTTCTTTGATATGCTGAATCTTACCATGTATTTAGATTTTGGATATTGGACCATAATAGGTGAATGTCCAATTTAAAATTTTTAAGTTCTTAGACCACATTCATCCTGTGTCAGAAACCTATGCTGTGTCAAATATTTAATCACAATCCAAATTCAGAGCTGTATCAAGCTTGAATGTTGTGTCCATACTTGCCCCAACTGTTCAGGGTTCGACCTCTGCGGTCGTATCAAGCTGCGCCCTGCGGAGCATTTTATTGGTTATTATCTTGAATATTATTATAGATAGAGATAAACTGTAAACAGCAATAATGTTCAGCAAAGTAAGATCTACAAATAAGTCAACATGACCAAAATGGTCAGTTGACCCCTTAAGGAGTAATTGCCCTTTATAGTCAATTTTTAACCATTTTTCGTAAATTTTTGTAATCTTTTACAAAAATCTTCTCCTCTGAAACTACTAAGACAAATTTAACCAAACTTGTCCACAATCATCATTAGAGTATCTAGTTTAAAAAATGTGTCCGATGACCCCGCCCGCGAACCAAGATGGCCTACATGGCTAAAAAATAGTTCATAGGGTAAAATGCAGTTTTTGGCTCATATCTCTGAAACCAAAGCATTTAGAGCAAATCTGATGAGGATAAAATTGTTCATTAGGTCAAGATCTATCTGCCCTGAAATTTTCAGACCAATCAGGCAACCCGTTGTTGGGTTGCTGCCCCTGAATTGGTAATTTTAAGGAAATTTTGCCGTTTTTGGTTATTATCTTGAATATTATTATAGATAGAGATAAACTGTATACAGCAATAATGTTCAGCAAAGTAAGATCTACAAATAAGTCAACATGACCAAAATGGTCAGTTGACCCCTTAAGGAGTTATTGCCCTTTATAGTCAATTTTTAACCATTTTTCGTAAATTTTTGTAATCTTTTACAAAAATCTTCTCCTCTGAAACTACTAAGACAAATTTAACCAAACTTGTCCACAATCATCATTAGAGTATCTAGTTTAAAAAATGTGTCCGATGACCCCGCTCGCGAACCAAGATGGCCGACATGGCTAAAAAATAGTACATAGGGTAAAATGCAGTTTTTGGCTCATATCTCTGAAACCAAAGCATTAAGAGCAAATCTGATGAGGATAAAATTGTTCATTAGGTCAAGATCTATCTGCCCTGAAATTTTCAGACCAATCAGGCAACCCGTTGTTGGGTTGCTGCCCCTGAATTGGTAATTTAAAGGAAATTTTGCCGTTTTTGGTTATTATCTTGAATATTATTATAGATAGAGATAAACTGAAAACAGCAATAATGTTCAGCAAAGTAAGATCTACAAATAAGTCAACATGACCAAAATGGTCAGTTGACCCCTTAAGGAGTTATTGCCCTTTATAGTCAATTTTAAACCATTTTTCGTAAATTTTTGTAATCTTTTACAAAAATCTTCTCCTCTGAAACTACTAAGACAAATTTAACCAAACTTGTCCACAATCATCATTAGGGTATCTAGTTTAAAAAATGTGTCCGATGACCCTGCCCGCGAACCAAGATGGCCGACATGGCTAAAAAATAGTACATAGGGTAAAATGCAGTTTTTGGCTCATATCTCTGAAACCAAAGCATTTAGAGCAAATCTGATGAGGATTAAATTGTTCATTAGGTCAAGATCTATCTGCCCTGAAATTTTCAGACCAATCAGGCAACCCGTTGTTGGGTTGCTGCCCCTGAATTGGTAATTTTAAGGAAATTTTGCCGTTTTTGGTTATTATCTTGAATATTATTATAGATAGAGATAAACTGTAAACAGCAATAATGTTCAGCAAAGTAAGATCTACAAATAAGTCAACATGACCAAAATGGTCAGTTGACCCCTTAAGGAGTTATTGCCCTTTATAGTCAATTTTTAACCATTTTTCGTAAATTTTTGTAATCTTTTACAAAAATCTTCTCCTCTGAAACTACTAATACAAATTTAACCAAACTTGTCCACAATCATCATTAGAGTATCTAGTTTAAAAAATGTGTCCGATGACCCCGCCCGCGAACCAAGATGGCCGACATTGCTAAAAAATAGTACATAGGGTAAAATGCAGTTTTTGGCTCATATCTCTGAAACCAAAGCATTTAGAGCAAATCTGATGAGGATAAAATTGTTCATTAGGTCAAGATATATCTGCCCTGAAATTTTCAGACCAATCAGGCAACCCGTTGTTGGGTTGCTGCCCCTGAATTGGTAATTTTAAGAAAATTTTGCAGCTTTTGGTTATTATCTTGAATATTATTATAGATAGAGATAAACTGTAAACAGCAATAATGTACAGCAAAGTTAGATCTACAAATAAGGCAACATGACCAAAATGGTCAATTGACCCCTTAAGGAGTTATTGCCCTTTATAGTCAATTTTTTACAATTTTCATAAATTTTGTAAATTTTTGTAAATTTTTACAAAGTATTTTCCACTGTAATTACCGGGCCAAGTTCATTATAGATAGAGATAGTAGTAAGGAGCAAGAATGTTCAGTAAAGTAAGATCTACAAACACATCACCATCACCAAAACACAATTTTGTCATGAATCCATCTGTGTCCTTTGTTTAATATGCACATAGACCAAGGTGAGCGACACAGGCTCTTTAGAGCCTCTAGTTATAATACTTAGCACGCCTTATCCTTGCGTGTAAGAAAATAGGTCGATACCGGTCAAGGTTAACTGTGTGTATTAAAACTAGCGAGTACGTAAACATTGGATTATATACTTTACACCGATTTGGGAATAAAAAGCAGGTAAAAATGCAGTTACTAACAAAATGTAGTATTAATAACAAACTGGAAAACAATAGATGTTATTCAAATGCCACATGTTGGCGGAATTTTGTAACGAAATAGGAAACTGTCAGTTTTTCCAGGAACAATATTTTCGGCTAAACAAAACTATGAAAGTATAATTAAACATTCATAACAAAGGGTATAATACATTGAAAGTTATGCAGTGTTGAAAGAGTTAAATATAACCAGATAAAAAGTGCTAACAGAATTCATAGATACAATGATTTACATTTTCAGGGTATGCCCGGAGATCCAGGAATGCCAGGACCACCTGGAGAACAAGGTCACAAAGTTAGTATTACTTCAGGGTATTGCCCATCTTAAGGTTTAAAGTTTAGTCAAGCATATCATTTCTCTAAAGGTCATCAAGTAAAATCAGCATTCCAGCATATTGGTGACTTAACCTCAGTTGTAGTAATTTTCAATATAGTACATAGATTGTTCATATACAGCTCTGGAAGCAAATATTTTTGAGTTTAAAAAGTTACTTAAATGAAATTTGGCTTGTTGTATGAAAGATTTATGACAAGGCAGTACATCACACAAAACTCAATGGTAAATGTTATTGTGAAACACTGAAACCTTTTATTTATTAATTTTTTTATACTACATGTTTGATTTGAAGAAATACTCATGTTGCAAAGAGACGAAGGTAGACAGATGTGATGAAATACTTAGATAGATCAATGGCAGAGGTTAACTAATTGTAACAACAGATTAATGTTAAAAGGTATTTTTCAAAATGTTTTGCCAACTGACATTTATATTAAAGTACAAATGCAAGCTATTAGTTCTGATAATTTTCTTCTGTATCCAGGACTTAGTAGGTATTCAATGTGTACAGTATCACAATTTATATTTTGTAGGGAGAGTCTGGCAGAGATGGACCAGAAGGACCTAAAGGACCACCGGGACCAGCAGTAAGTTACAAAATTCATTTATCAGACATTGTGAATGTAAAGATAAGAAGATGTGGTATGATTCCCAATGAGACCATTTATTTCTTACATTTTAGAAATTGATTGTAGAGATTCAAAATTAAATTTATGATTTAATCAGTAAATCAGTCAAAATATTAAAAATGTTCACTTTTGTTTTCCATGTTTATTTAAACTGTCTCTAACTTTCAAAACAAGTAACTTTCAGAACAAGTACACAAATGTTTTGCAATTTTGAATATATTCTCATATGGTAATTGTTGGATCATAACAGAATTTGTTAATTACAGGGACCTATTGGCTCTCCTGGTGACCCAGGATTACCTGGAAGAAATGGAAAACAGGTAAGACATACATACACATTTTAATTTCAAAATTGTTAGCACTCATGAATTGAGAAATGAGGTATGAATTCCGTTTCAATTATTAAGGAGGTATGACAAGAACCCTGCAGAAATTGCTTAAATAGTCAAATTCTTCAATCCTTTGAAATTATGTTAATTTATAAAATTTATAGATTTTTGAATTCCAGATGCCAACAAAGTTAACTTATTGTGCCTTCTCCTTTACCAATTTAATTAGTTAATGAGATTTACTTATCCTGGGTAACAAACAAACTAGTGTCCATTATTTTGCCATCAGGGTAAATTTCAAAACTTTCGTCCTAGACAACTTTTATAGGGTAGGTGGATGATTTTTGTGTGTGTGTGTTTTTGAGTTGCTTTCTAATTGATGTTTGACCTGCATATTATTTTATTTAATGATCTTTCATCCATAATGTAAAATTAAAGTTCTGTCACCATGTAAGAACTGAAATAAAATTATATAACTTTAATAAAATGTTCAAGTTTCAGCTTCCATTGATGAATAATTCAGGAAATGACATGAGTTATTTTAATTAGGCAAAATTTGAACATTTCCCATGTCCCTTTGGGATCAAATTCAATGAACAAAAAAATGAAATGCAGCACCATAAACATAATCTACATGCTACCAAATTTCAGATTTCTATATTTTCTCTCTGATATTTATTGGTAGTTAGATGTTCTAATGGATAAACTGCATTTCATGAGATCCCAGGATTTGTTGTGTAGGGCATGAAAACAGACATTCATTTCATACATCGTTTTCATGGATAAACATTGTATTTGACAGTAGCATTTAATCAATTTTGTATATTTCCAAATAATTTGAAAACTAATAAAAAATGTTTGAAATTTTTTCATCCATTCTGGATAATGTACATACTAGGTGCTACCTCAGATAGTTGATTAAGTTTGAGTTTAACGATAATTAAGAAAAAAAAAATCTTTTAATGTTGAATGGTGTAATTTTACAAATTTATCTTGCAGGGAGATGTGGGATCACCTGGTGTACCTGGGGCAGCTGGAGAAGTTGGAATTAAAGGAAGTCAAGGAATGAAAGGAAATTCTGGACCAAGAGGACCAGCTGGACCTCCAGTAAGTACTACTGAAAATACAACAAGAAATTCAAAGAATATTTGGACAGCACATATTTTATAAGAAAAATTGTGTAAAAAGTGTTTAACTTTGAAAATTTTTATCTGGGAAATTATTTCTGAAGCAATATAAAGTTGTACCATAAAAAAAATTAATGTACAGTTGAACCTCGTTATGTCGAAGTCGAAGGGACCGGACCAAAGTATTTGACTTATCCGAGGTCGATTGTGTCGTCATAAATTTGAAATGCATGAAATATGGTATGAGTTTTGTGTAAACTTGATACTTTGAACAGTGTGCCTTTTTTCAGTATGACACTTTATGATTGTGTATACACCTTATCACTATTTGTCCGTCATTACTGGACATCACAAAGGTTCCCGTAAAATTTTGACGTCATAATAGAAAATATCTGATGCCGCAATGGAAAAGTGATTGTTGTATGACGTCAATAGTTCAAGCGGCACAGATTCTTGTGTCAAGTGGCACAAATTTCCAAATAGCGATAAGGTGTATTTATTATCCATATTTTTTGGTCCTTCATATGATTAAACACACAAATACAGATACAAATCATGCACAAATGAAAACAATAGTACACACAAATGTTTACAAATGTCGGTCATTATTATGAAATCACTCGCGGAACGAAACAAGTTCTGAATGGTCTCTGATAAGGTTGTCTGCTTTACATGAATTATTATAAATTTATCATTATTGTCTTAGGTAATCCTTTAATTATTGTAATTAATGAATTTTAATTCTAACGATTCATTTAATCTCGGCTTGGGCCATTTAAATTCGTTTCGTTTTTTATGTCAGGTGAAATATGTTCAACACAATAATGTTCCGCTTGTACCATCAACAAAGGTCATCATAAACATGTCATTTTAACTGTTATAGAAACAAGTACGTTTACTCAGCTTAAATCTCATTTGAAAGTGATTAGGTTACATAAGAACTACATCCGATTTGAAAAATTATTATTAGGTCTGCATCTTTCGAAAATTCTTACTTTCGAAACTTCGTGACATCGGGGTCAATTTACATTAGTTTTACATCGACGGGACTATAAAATTTACTCGACTTAACTGAGTTTTCGAATCAACTGAGTTCCACTCATCAGAAGTAATTATGCATTGATCAAATGGGAATTTTGCCAGGACCAAGAAATTACTTCGACTGATCCGAGTTTTCGACACAAGGAGGTTCGACTGTATATCAGACTGCATAAACTAAGTTGAAGAGGACTTTCTGGTGAAATTAAAGTTAACAGAGAATCAACAAGTTTTCTTATCAAGGATTTTTTATTGGAAGATATACCTTTTGATGGAAATCCAATATTATAGCTTGTTACTTCTTTTACTTTAGGGCCAACCAGGAGTACAAGGAACTTCAGGACCTAGAGGAAATCCAGGCCCTGTGGTATGTATACAGCAGTGTTTGTCACATGTAGATGTAATGTATGGTAGCAAAATTTGTAAGATTGATTGATAAGTGTTTGCTTTATTCTGCCTAAGTGCAAAAAGGTAATATCACAGCAATAAATGGTAAAGAAATATTTAGATTTTTTATAAATTGCAAATATAAAGATTCAGATCAAAAAGGTTAATGATTTCAGGATATCTAACTTTTTAGTTGATTCCATATAATCTTATATGAAAATAAAGTAGAGTTGTGGTCTGTATTGCCAATTAGACAACTATCCATAAGACTATAGAGCAAAGATGTGAACAATAACAGGTCACTGTTCAATCTTAAACAATGAGCTATAATACCCATACAGAATAATAAGCTATAGGAAACCCCAATCAATTTGACATAATATGAAACTATGGGAAACAATTCAAAAGAGAAAACAAATGGCTGATTTATTATAGTACAATGAACAAAAAACAAATATGGACGACATCAACCAACAATTATGTGTACATGATGTAAGATTATCTGTCATGGAGTGTTCCTGATATCTCACATTCATTATGCCATGGTACACTACCTATAAATTATCTGTAAGAAAAAAGACTACTCAATTTACCATACTTTTGTACAATATAAGGCTTATGTCCATTTTAACATATAATGTATATTGTATGTTGTTTGTGTGTTTTCTCTTATGTTAGAACAGAGACATGGACAAATTCATATATGGTTAGAAATTTATGCCAAATGTAGTTTTAAAATTATGAATCTCTAATGAGTACAAAAAAATGTATAAAGTAATGAATGGTGAAAAGTATGAGTTTTTATGCAACCGCAAAAAAATTTTTGCGTCATATAATGCAATGATGTCGTCGTCGTCCGAAGACACATTTGGTTTCTGGACAATAACTTTAGTTTAAGTGAATGGATCTCTATGAATTTTTACCAGAAGGTTCAATACCACAAAAGGAAGGTTGGGATTTATTTTGGGGGGTGATGGTACCAACAGGTTAGGAATTAGGGGCCAAAAACAAGCATTTTTGTAGTTTCCTGACAATAATTTGTGTGTTAGTGTATGGATCTCTCTGAAATTGTACCGCAAGGTTCCATATCACAAAGGGAAGGCTGGGATTGAGTTTGGGGTTAATTGCTCCAAACGTTCAGGAATTAGGGGCAAAAAAGGGGCCAAAAACAAGCATTTTTCTATTTTCCAGACAATAACTTGTGTTTAAGTGCATGAATCTCTCTTAAATTGTACTACAAGGTTCCATACCATAAAGGGAAGGCTGGGATTGAGTTTGGGGTTAATTACTCAAAAAGGGGGGGGGGGAGTGGAGGGGTAAAAAAATTGGGGGAATTTTATTTTCCAATTTTTTTGGGGGGGTTCTTTTTTTTCCTTCAAAATTTTTGAAATCTTCAATTGCACAGTATTGCGCAATAGCAAGAAATCTTCAATTGCACAGTATTGCACAATAGCACAGTATTGCGCAATAGCAAGAAATCTTCAACTGTACAGTATTGCACAATAGCAAGAAATCTTCAATTGCACAGTATTGCGCAATAGCAAAAAATCTTCAATTGCAAAGTATTGTGCAACAACACAGTATTGCGCAATAGCAAGAAATCGTCAATTGCACAGTATTGCACAATAGCAAGAAATCTTCAATTGCACAGTATTGCGCAATAGCAAGAAATCTTCAATTGAAAACAAATACAAATGTTTTAACCAATTTCGATGGGATTAATTAAGTCTTTAATTTTTTGGTGTTCTAACCTTGTATAATTTTTTTGGATATTGGGCCCCATTTTTAAATAGGTCTACATTGAGGTCGAAAGTGTCCAAAATTAAAGTTTTGTTTGATTTCATCAAAAACTGAATTATTGCGGCTGTATGATTTGTTGAATCTTATTGTGCATTTAGATTTTATTTTGGGCCCTGTTTTCAAATTAGTTCATATTAAGGTTTGAAGGGTCGAAAATTAAACTTTGTTTGATTTCAACTAAAATTAAATTTTTGGTGTTTTTTTATATGCTGAATCTAACCATGTTGTTAGATTTTGGATATCAGACCATTCTAGGTAAATTAAATGTCCCATTTCAAATTTTTAAGATCTTTAGACACATTTATTTTGTGTCTGAAACCTATATTATGTCAAAAATTTTATCACAATCCATATTCAGACAGTATCAAGCTTGAATATTGTGTCCAAACTTGCCCCAACTGTTCAGGGTTTGACCTCTGCGGTCATATCAGGCTGCGCTCAGCGAAGCATTTTATTCTTTTTAAATCAATAATAAAAATTGGTATGTTATAGGGAGAAGCTGGATCCACAGGACCACCTGGTTTACCAGGAGAACAGGGACTTATTGTAAGTACACATCACAATACTGCTTTTGTTCAATTTCAAGTATTATGAAAGTATATGGAGTGTCACAAGTTGTTTTAAGAGGGAAAGGTTTTGCTTTGAAATTTTTTGGGACAAAATTTGGTGTCATTGTAAAGATTTGACCTAAAGAAAAGGAGGACACCCCTGAAAACATTCTGCATCAACCACCAACAAAGGATTTCTGTGAGAAAATAGACGTACAAATAACAACTAACAATGAAATCTATGAAATTATGTTTTGATGATAATTTAATGGACAAACAATTACTTTAACTTTAGTCAAACAGATATCAAAGTACTGAAGTACTGAACATCGGATGACCGCAAGTTCTTGTGGATGGTCACAAGCACTTGTCGCAGAAAAAAAAAATTACATCTCTATACCTAAAAGTGAGGTTAATGTACAGAGATATATGTTTTTCTGAGATAAGTTCATGCATGCATGATGAATAAATGACAGGGAATTCAACCTCACCGTAATAACTATTATATTTTAGTGATACAAATCAGTATACTTTGGTTTGTTGTTATATATTATATTAATATTTGTATATAACAGTTACATGTATATATAATTTTCAACCATTTGTATATCATTCTATTCTACTATTCTGATAATAGTGCAGTGCAAGTGCATGGTGGACACTCTTCTGTAATAATTCGATTTTTCTAATAGATTGGATTTGAGTAGGCATTCATATTTTCCCGCAAAACATTCTTGAGATATTCTTCCGCATGCGTTAACACAATTTTTCTGTACGTGTGCATAGATATTAATTATTTTTAACTTATATATATATATATTTCTTAACGACAAAACATTTTCATATTATTAATTTATGTTCTAAAAAAAAATATTTTTATGAGTATTCATTGAAGAAATGAATTTATAACAAGCGATAATGAATGTTATTTTGCACTCGATAATGTCCGCGTATTTATACGATTGGTTTTCAGTCAATAACGAAAGTCATATCTCTGTGGCAACAATACATCGGAATGCCCTCACGGTCATCGCGATGTAAAAATTGATAGAGATTTTTATGAGAATGTTTGAGATTTTACCTTCTTCTCAGGAGACCAGTAACCAGAGAAAGATTTTCAAGATAAGGAGATTTGACTCCTATTTATTTACAAGTTATGGCCCTTGAAAGATTTTAAAAAATAAATAATGGACTCTAGTTGATAAAACTTTGTTTTGCCTATACAATAAAAAACATTCAAGAGTTTGATTTTCAAAAGGAGTTGAACTGCATGAAGAGCTGACATGAAATTAAACTGGATAAGGTTTATTAACTCTTTATCTACCACTGATGGATATATACACGGTTTTTATCATCTTTCTGTCCGCAGTGACTGATAAATCCGCTTGCATAATCAAGCGTGTATTCACAGTGACTGATAGATCCGCTGTAAACATACACTTGCGCAGTCCCGGTGACAGATATTTCCGTAAAATATACCACTGTTAAAACCCTTTAGATTGGACAAAACTGTTCGGGAATCCTGAAATGAACCAATGAAATTTGTTTTACAAATGAATAATCTTTCAACTTGTACATTGCTTTTCTATAAAAAGTGTGTGTTTATACATATAATTATGATGAATTTTACACGTGTTCGGAATGCGATTAAACCAATGGCGTATGAATGGGCTTCTTTGTTCAAATCGTATAGCGAAAGTGAAGAATTTGAAGGATTTATGCAATTAGAAAGTAAAATTGGAAGTATAGGAAGGGATAATTTAGTTTGTCGGAACAAGATTGCGAGTCTTCCGAGGATGAAGAAGCCAAACATGGACAAATAATTTGAAATCTTTTTACGTCCATTTACGGCAGCTTTCAAGCTTGATAAGGAAAAGAAAGAAATTGTTTTGGTATTTGTTTCATTAACTGGATTTTTCGAAGTAAAAATCAGTTATTGATTTGGGGATGTACGGCGGGCAGGCATGCGGCTGCCAAACAGTGTCCGTTCATTTACATGAAAACGCTTTGAAGAAATTTTTTCAAATTTAGATATGTTGTTTCCTGTGACTACATGAAGGTAAAATTCAATTTTTATGATTTTAGCTTTTCTCGTTGATCAGTTATAGCCCTTTCCCAAGAATTCAATTTTTGATGATTTAATCCATTTCTGTACAAAGGGAAATAACTATTTTTTTAAAAGATTTTTAAAAGACATTGTATTAATGATAAATGACATTTTGGATTTTTTTTTCTTTTCTTTGGTAAATTGTTTGAAGAATTTTGTGGTAGGTTTGTTTGTTATTCTGTATCAACTCATTTTCTGAATGCTATATATATAATTTTTTTTTATGAAGTGAACTCCTTTAATTAGATAATAATTTATTTTTATTAAAGGATATATTTCATTACATTACATTGTGTAAAGTTGATAGATTAGATGCAGTTCTATATTAGTTTGTGACAAATGAAAGAAAAAATATTTGGAACTATTAATTATATTTGATTATAATTTGAAAATAGATATACATTGTGTTACATCATATCTAATTTTAGAGAACTATTTTTAGTAAAATCATATCTAATGTTAGAGTACTGTGTTAAACCATATTTCTGTTCAAAGGGAAATAACTCAAACTTATTCCATGAACCAGTAATGATAACATCAAAATTTCTCTATAACTATTTTCTTTAAGTCGTGTGTGTTATGAAGGTAGCTGTTTCATACTTGCTCAACTGTTCAGGGTTTGACCTCTGCAGGAAAATCCGGTTTGCTGTCACTCGACAGCCTCTTGTTTTTCAATTAATATACAATAAATACTGATTAATTAAACATTTAATTAGAGTACTCATAACACAGCCTTAACAATTTGTGAAACATTCTCTCACTGCAAATTATCTCTGGTAGTTAACCTACAATTCAGCTGCAGTATCTAACTAATCAGCAGTGTGTAGTAGTGAACTGTAAAGGTATCTGTGGTAGATAAGAAGTTAAGCCTTTATACTAAGGGTATCTGGGTCAATATGCACAATTAATTTCAGTAGTCTGTATTATTAACTTTTTCTGCAATTCCTCTGTCCATATAATTGTGAACTTCCTAATTTATGATGGCTTGTTTTGAAGCTGAGATATTTTCACATGTGGTTTAATATTAATGTTTACTATGTAAGATTCAATTTAGTAACCCCAAAGGGTCCTTTGTGATATGGCCTCTTGGAGTTAAAATCCCTTTTTCACACAATGAAAATCTGGTCTTCTTCTCTTCAAAACTGCACAAATGGTTAAGGTCAGTCAATTTATAAATATAGCAACATGTCCAATATCATTGCACAGAGATATTTTGTCTACATATTATAATTATGAGGGATGTCAACTCGTTGAATAATTACTAATCGAGTACTCGTTGGTTTTATCGAGCGATACTCGAGTACTCGCTCTGGAATATATCTACAACACGGAAACATGTATTTTACATTCTGTGGTTTGTGTTCAATGGACGAAAAACCATCTACATAAGTATGTGGGACAAGGAATTACACACCATAATTAATAGCTCATTACCAACAAGTACTAATAAAGTAAAAAAACAATAATCTAATCAACATAATTTAATGAGCACCTATTTAAAAATCATAACAAGGAAAAACCATATCAAACAACAGTACTTGTAATCATTAAGAAAACACATTTAATGCTTACAAAGGCGTAAGGATTAGAAGTTTAATTATTCAATGAGGCTCACCAGAGGATGCAACAAATTTATTTTATTTGGAAATATTTTCTTGTCAACTATTATTTGGGACAGTCGGTTTTGCAACTTTATAAATTATCTTTCAGACGAAAATATTTTCTCTGACGGTACCGATCTGACGTAATGGCTAAGACATGTTTAGTTTAAAGTACTCTAACTTAAGTTTTCCTCATTCAAATATTATTAAACTCATACACAATGCTAAGAACCAAAATTTGCAGACAAGAGTTTGAATTTGGGCAGTGAGTGACTTACTGTTCTAGAATTATGCCCCTTTATAACTGGGAAAATTGCAAATTTTACAAACAAAACAGTGAAACTATGAAAATAACACACAGCACAAAAATACCTAAGACTAGAACAATAGAACTCTTTAAAAACTATCAGTGACATCAAATGCTCTCAAATATTGTTATCATGTACTATCAGCAAGCATTCTTGTCCTCAGACACATTCTTCTTTTATTTTGTTCCTCACTTTCAGGGATATTGATCCATCTGAACTATTTATTAACCATAAGTTACAAATTTTGTTTTAAGAAAGCAGCATTTGCCAGTCAGAAATAACGACTTTTTAAAATTTTATAAAAGATAATAGAAGGTCACAGGTAGGATAACCGTTATTTGGCCCTTGAAATTAAAAAATTGGTTACTTTTTTTAATCCTTTTTGGTATAGAACCACTAATTCAGGCCCGGTCGGAAAGAACATATAAGAAAGTAGTACATATTTTAAACAAAATAGTTCCTACGCATAGCTGTATCTTTGTCAATAGGTGAACTATTTGGGTAGTTTTGGTATCAAATGAAATCTTGGGGACTAGGGATCACTGTAGAACCCTTGTTGAAAGTTTCTTTTGAATAATAAAAAAAATATATAAAATTATAATAGGTGGGCACATTTACCGTGTTGTTCAAATCAGAAGTACCTGTTTTTGTACTATCAATCTTCCGGGAACCAGTACGCTCTAATATGCAATTAAAGGTATGTTGTTTTTTTAAGCACAAGTCAGGATAAGGTTTAGTTTTGACATGAAATGACTGCCACTTTTTTGAACTTAAGACAAAGTAGCCATTAATGCTTGAAATTGCAGAATTTAACATAGAAAGCAATGGGGCTATGAATTAGTGGTTTTATACCTTTTACATTGTGGTAATTTTATATGTTGTAGGGACCACCAGGACCATCAGGCTCAAAGGGAGAAAGAGGAGAGAAGGGTATAAAGGTAAGAATATTCTATAGAATTCCAAAACAACTGTATAGTGAATAAAAATGGATCTAATTTGTAACTTCAAAGTGTTCCAACATTTACACATGTCTGAAAATTTGTTAAAACTTCTTATCTCTAATGGTTTTTTTAATCCTTACTTTAGTATCACTAAGAGGTTGTCTATGTGACATTTAATTTTCCTGCCTATCACAGCTGTGATATTCTTTTCAGTTTTTTTGCTTCTTAATTTTTTTTCAAAGTTGGGAGTTGATATGAGTAATTGTAAAAATTAGCATTTATCTGTATTTTATCAAAAATTATATTTACTTTGTTGGGAGGATGTTTTACATTTAAAAGAGAAAAGCAAACATTAGATAGATTAATCGGATGCATAGAAATTGATAATTTGGTTTTTGTCTCGCCTTGACGGAGTCAAAAAGCAAGACATAGGTATGCTATTTCCGGCGTCTGCATCAACAATGTATTAGTTTGTGATTAGGTCTAGTTTTTGGTAACTACTAGTGGTAGGTCAATGATATTTGGTATGCAGTTGTATTAGCATTGGCACATCTCATTTCCATGGAGATTATTTGGCCCTTCCCCCTCAGTCATGGTCTATTGACTTTGAAACTTTTGCTTAGTTTACATGTATCAGTTTAAGATGAACCTCTGATGTTAAGTCAATGATATTTGGTATGCAAATTTATTGGCATTTGCAAGTCTCATTTCCATGGAGATTATATAGCCCCACCCCCTCATCATGGTTCATTGACTTTGAAACTTTTACATTGTTTACACGTTATTGTTTGTGTTTAGGTTTGTTTAAAGGGAACGACTTATGATATTAAAGTCAATGGTATTTGGTATGCAGTTGTGTTAGCATTGGCACATCTCATTTCCATGGAGATTGTTTAGCCATGCATCTTCAGTCATGGTTCATTGACTTTGAATATTTGCATAACTTACATGTTAAAGTATTGCTATATTAATTTCAACATTTGCATTATCAAAATTACAAAAAGGCGAGACATATCTCTGTGTTAACAGTTTATTATCACTTAATTTATTGTTATAAAAAATAAATTGCACATACCTGTAATAGTCATTTGAATGTGATAAGTTTGTCATTTAGGGAAATACTGGTAGAGTTGGATCACCTGGTATAATTGGTGATCCTGGACCAAAAGGACAACCTGGACCTGTTGGCCCACCTGGGGAGAAAGGAGATCGTGGACCTTTAGTAAGTCATTCTGAAACTGATGATGAAAGTTTGTACAAATTGTAATTAGATACTTAGCAAGCACTATACTCAAGTACTCATTAGTGATTATTAGGGAAAATGAAAATATGGTTTTTAGCTTCTAATTGTCCACTTAATGATTTACTAAAATAAGATGTAAATTTATGGTTAATGTCAGACAACAAATAGTGTATTGATATTAATTATTTTTTATCTGCTTTACTCATTTTGTTCTGATCATGTTTCATAGAATACAATATAGCATAATATTATTACATTATAATCATGAGTGCCTCAATAATTTTTACATATAAGGTGCCATTATTTGAGCAGGAACTATTTACCCTTTGAGAGCTCCTGAATTCACTCTTGGATTTTGTTTTGATTTCTGTTGTTCAATTTTATTTTCAGTGTAGTGTTTTATGGATGATGATTGTCTTCTCATTTTTTTAGCTCACCTGACCGACAGGCCAAGTGAGCATTTCTCCTCACTTGGCATCTGTCGTTGTCGTCCGTTAACTTTTACAAAAATCTTCATCTCTGAAACCACTGTGCCAAATTTAACCAAAAATTGTCCCAATCATCATTGGGGTATCTAGTTAAAATAATGTGTGCGATGACCTCACCTTCCAACCAAGATGGCTGACATGGCTAAAAATAGAAAATAGGGGTAAAATGCAAGTTTATTATTTTGAAAACCGCTATAAATAAGAGAAATTCTGAAGTGAGCAAAAATGTTCAGAATGTTGAGCTCTAACTATAGTCCATTTAGGTCGAAACTGGAAGACATCTTCTTATAGGAGTTATTGCCCCTAAATGAAGAATTTTACCATTTTTGGAAAATATTTCCCTATTATCTTGAAAATTATAATAGATAGACAGAAACTTTAAATAGTAAAAACGATCAACAAGACAAGATCTAAAAATAAGTCATAATAACCAACATCATCAGAGGACTCCTTTTTAGAGTTATTGCCCTTTAATGACGAATCTTACCAAATTTTTGCCTTTTTGCCTAATATTTTAAAAACTATAATAGATAAATAAAAATTTTCAAAGCAAAAATGATCAGCAAGATAAGATCTACAATAAGGTAAACATGACCAAAATTGTAAGTTGACTCCTTATTGAAGTTATTGCCCTTTAATGACAATTTTTGCCATTTTTTTCCTATTTTTGCCTATTATCTTTAAAATTGTAATAGATAGATAGAAACTTTTATTAGCACAAATGATCAGCAAGACAAGAAATCTTCTAACCCGAATAATTCAGTCCCTCCCCGTAATCGATCTCTCCTACTTGCGAGGGCCTGAATTCCTTACACGATAAAAACTCTCCTAGAATCCTGGATTTTGATTGGTGCCCTGTAGAAGCAGTGACCAATTAGCAATCAGCTCAATTTTATCGAGATAGGTAAATCCCGAGCTAATTCCGAATGATTGATTGAAGATTTTTCGTTGTCAATGTATTCAGCCGTTAACGGAGTAATCGTAGATCAGCGGAATATAACGACTGAATTATTCGGGTTAGAAATCTTCAGTCTACTTGTTATTGGAGTTATTGCCCTTTAATGATAATTTTTACATTTTTTTTATAAAAAAAAATATAGATAAATAGAAACTTTAGAAAGAAAAAGTATCCGCAGGATAAGATCTACAAATATGTCAGCATGACTGAAATTGTTAGTTAACTCTTAATAAAGTTGTTCCCCTTTCATGGTGATTTTTACTCAAAAGTGGCCATTGTTTAAGATGCAGGTGAGCCACACTGGCTCTTTAGAGCCTCTAGTTTTATTTGGTGATGGTTTTGTCTGTTCTTTTTCAACTAATGATTTTGATTCCCTCCATTGTAATTTCTTACTATTTTCATGATAAACAACACTAAGCTCTCTTTCAATTGTCAAAATAATCTTCAGATTTTTACATTGTCTTTTACAATTAGTAGAAACTGCTTATATTCTGTGGTAATCTTAGTTCATTCATGTTTATGCCAGGGTTGATGTTGCTCAAGATTTAGTTTTTCAGTGTAATGTTTTGTGGACTGTTGTTTGTCTTTTTTCCTTTAGCTATAGAGTTGTCTATCTTTTTAGCTCACCTGGCCCGAAGGGCCAAGTGAGGTTTTCTCATCACTTGGCGTCCGTCGTCCATCGTTGTTAGCTTTTTACAAAAATCTTCTCCTCTGAAACCACTGGCCAAATTTAACCAAACTTGGCCACAATCATCATTAGGGTAACTTATTTAAAAAATGTGTCCGATGACCCCGCCAACCAACCAAGATGGCCACCATGGCTAAAAATAGAACATAGGGGTAAAATGTAGATTTTGGCTGATATCTCTGAAACCTAAGCATTTAGAGTAAATCTGACAGGATAAAACTGATTATCAGGTCAAGATCTATCTGCCCTGAAATTTTCAGACAAATCTGACAACCTGTTGTTGGGTTGTTGCCCCTGAATTGGTAATTTTAAGGAAATTTTGCAGTTTTTATACGACTGCAAAATATTTTGCGGTCGTATATTGGTATGACGTTGGCGGCGTCGTCGTCGTCCGGCATTGTCCGAAGACACATTGGTTTTCGCACTCTCACTTTAGTTTAAGTGAATGGATCTCTATGAAATTTTACCATAAGGTTCAATACCACAAAAGGAAGGTTGGGATTGATTTTGGGGGTTATGGTACCAACAGTTAAGGAAAAAGGGGCAAAAAATAAGCATTTTTGTAACTTCCAGACATAACTTGTGTGTTAGTGTATGGATCTCTCTGACATTGTACCAAAAGGTTCCATATCACACAGGGAATGCTGGGATTGATTTTGGGGGTAATTGCCTCAAAATATTAGGAATTAGGGGCCAAAAAAGGGGCAAAAAACAAGCATTTTTCTAGTTTCATGACAATAATTTGTGTGTAAGTGTATGGATCTTTCTGAAATTGTACTACAAGGTTCCATATCACAAAGGGAAAGCTGGAATTGAGTTTGGGGGTAATTGCCTAAAACGTTTAGGAATAAGGGGCCAAAAAGGGGCCAAAAATAAGCATTTTTCTAGTTTCCAGACAATAACTTGTGTTCAAGTGTATGGATCTCTCTGAAATTGTACTGCAAGGTACCATACCACAAAGGGAAGGCTGGGATTGAGTTTGGGGGTGATGAATCATAAGGGGATTCAAAAAATTGGGGGGGGGGATTTTTTTTTTTTCCTTTTTTTTCTTTTTTTCCTTTTTTTTTTCTTTTAAAATTTTCCATTTTAAGTTGGTTATTTCTGTTTTATATTTAAAAGCAAATAATAATGATATGGTAGGAGATACACACCAAACAGGATGTGTAAATTATTATATAATAAGTATTGTGCAATAGCAAGAAATTTTCAATTGCACAGTATTGCACAATAGCAAGAAATCTTCAATTGCACAGTATTGTGCAATAGCACAATATTGCGCAATAGCAAGAAATTGTCAATTGTACAGTATTGCGCAATAGCAAGAAATATTCAATTGCACAGTATTGTGCAAAAGAAGATACTTCGTATAAATTGCTTATTTCTTGACCAATTTCAATGGGGTTTTATTTATGAATTCTTGGGGTTCTTTAATATGCTGATTCTAACCGTGTATTAAGTTTTTGGATTTTGGGCCCCGTTTTTAAATTGGTCCACATTGAGGTCCAAAGGGTCCAAAATTAAACTTTGTTTGATTTCATCAGAAATTGAATTATTGGGGTTCTTTGATATGCCGAATCTAACCGTGTATTTAGATTCTTAATTTTTGGTTCCGTTTTCAAATTGGTCTACATTAAGGTCCAAAGGGTCCAAAATTAAACTTAGTTTGATTTTAACAAAAATTGAATTCTTAGGGTTCTTTGATATGCTGAATCTAAACATGTATTTAGATTTTTGATTATGGGCCCAGTTTTCAAGTTGGTCCAAATCGGGGTCCAAAATTAAACTTTGTTTGATTTCAACAAAAATTGAATATATGGGGTTCTTTGATATGCTGAATCTAACCATGTATTTAGATTTTTGATTTTTGGGCCCCATTATCAACTTTGTCCACATTGAGGTCAAAAGGGTCCAAAATTAAACTTTGTTTGATTTCATCAAAAATTGAATTCTTGGGGTTCTTTGATATACTGAATCTAACCATGTATTTAGATTTTGGAAATTGGACCATAATAGGTGAATGTCCAATTTAAAAATTTTAAGTTCTTAGACCACTTTCATTCTGTGTGAGAAACCTATGCTGTGTCAAATATTTAATTACAATCCAAATTCAGTGCTGTATCAAGCTTGAATGTTGTGTCCATACTTGCCCCAACTGTTCAGGGTTCTACCTCTGCGGTCGTATCAAGCTGCGCCCCAGCGGAGCATTTATTTGTTATTATTTTGAATATTATTATAGATATATATAAACTGTAAGCAGCAATAATGTTCAGCAAAGTAAGATCTACAAAAAAGTTAATATGACCAAAATTGTCAATTGACCCCTTAAGGAGTTATTGCCCTTTAAAGACAATTTTACACAATTTGTTCATCAAGTTTGTTAACATTTAAAAATCTTCTCCTCTGAAATACAGGTGAACGATTCAGGCTCTTGAGAGCCTCTTGTTCCTGTAGCTATGGAGTTGTCTATCTTTTTTGAAGTTATAATTTTGATTACCCCCACTTTATATTTTTTTAATTTTAATGATATAAAAAACAGTTAGCTCCCTATTAGTTTGTAACAATTTTTACCTTTGTTTTTGCCAGAGTTATTTAACTTTAATTATGAATTTTTCTACCCTGTTAAAATGGGGATGTTACTTATTTCATGTGACACTTTGTTTGAAATATTTTCAAATAGATATCCACAACTTAATCCTGTGTTTTCCTTTCAATGTGGAACTTTGCTATTCTTGATGAACTAATATATTCAAGAACTTAGACATGAATACTTATTATTGTATGTGTGTTTTAAAGACATTTATTGTTACAGGGTCAAAATGGACCACCAGGAATAATGGGAGTGGAAGGCATGCCAGGCTCACCAGTAAGTAATTTATTAAACATATATAGCTTATAAATATGCGATGAAAGGCCATATGTAATAAGAAATATAAATCTGTTTATTATGTGTTTTGGCATTACCTACTTTTTGTTTGCCATATGAAATAAGAGATATTATTTGGCTCCAAAAATGACCCTAGAAAAATGAAGAAACTATGAAAATTTGTTACATGAAAAATTATGAAAAGACTATAAAAACTACTGAAGTTGTAAATAGGTCATTGTTCTTGGAAATTAGATTGATTATGTTGGTTGCATTCTGAAATTGGAAATACTCAAAATAAAAAATAACATAGAAATCGTTTTACTTATATCTTATATCAAGATTAAAAGTAATGTCAGAATTTTCTTTCAAATAACTAATCATTTGCTTATACCATATATATGTATAGTAAAATCTTTATAAATTGGATCCTGAGTAAGTCTCCTTACTGTTCAAACATTTTCTATAAGAGTTTCAGTGGAAGAAAGCTTCCAAAAAAATCAGATCTTTATGAGAAAAACATGGATGAAAGATCTGAAGTCAGTTCCAAGATCTGTTACAGTAGGGGGCATACTATTTTATGGTTTCTGTGTCCATCTGTTTTTTAGTCAATTTGTTTGTCCGTTCCTCAGTCCCATATTGTTTAAGTTAGTTTAACATGAAGTTGTGGGCACATTAACTTGAAAATTGGTAGAAGGGAATTTCTAAAAGATATATGCCAAAAGCTATCCCAAGCTGACTCATTACTACAGGATTGACCAAAGACTTTAAAAGTGAGATTTTTTATTCTCTGCTAAGGACACATAATTTAGAAGTAGGAGCAAAGACTGGTGGGCCAGGGGTCAGTTTAATGTGTCCAGGTAGGACGGTTACCTTGTGAATTAGCATATTAAAACCTGGCACAGCATGTTGATCTAGTCCAGAACATTAAGTTCGAATTCATATCATATTAACATGTTCTCGTCCTGAATATGCATTTAATTTGCCACTGGGGATTAAACAGCCATCCATCATCATCACCAAATTAAGATTTTTACCGAGATTCAATAGTTCAATGGAGCATAGAATGTTGTCTTATGGACTAGCATTACCATCCCTGTAAACATTTTTTTTTTTAAGTGTGGGAGCGGGTTATTTAGGAATCTCTCTGTCCATCCATTTGTCTGTCTGCAGGGGGTCTTTTTTGACAACAAACTTCAAGTCTCGTTATTTTTTGGGAGGAGAGATTTGTATAAATATTACATAATCATTCTTGTTTCCTTGATAGTGCTTTCATATATTTTTGAAGGTGTACTTTAATTAAAATCTTTAAAAAAAATTATTATCAGGCAATTCATTTTATAGGGAGAAACTGATAATTTTGTTTGTGTTGGATTTGTTGTTCCTTCATTTTACTATTACTATTATTTTGGAGGAAGACTTTTCACTGATATTGAGGTATAGGTTATATTACTAAACATCCATCATGGAGGGTACACATGTGAAAAAAATAAACCAGTAAAAATAAATCACAGTACAAATGGTGAAAACAGAACTATGTTTAAGTTTTACTGAAGAGGTTCACATTAAGTAGCAACACAGACTGAAAATCTTACCCATTTCCATGGAGGTTGTTTGGCCCTGTACCTTCAGCTGTGATTCATTGACTGAATATTTTGCATAACTTACATGTTAAAATATAATTGTTTTTTATAGCCCAGCTGGCCAGCAACAAAGTTGTCGGGGCTATATAGTTTTACCATTATCTGTCATTCCATCATACCCTCATTCTGTCATTCCATCATTCCTCAATGAACAGTTATATAGACTTTTTTCCTAAACAGCTATACATATTGAGCTGATTTTTAGTATGTGAGTCTACTATGATGAGTTAAAGATGGAATTTATGTTTGGTTCTGCTCTGCTGATTTTTGCCAGAATTACGGGATTTGGTCTTTGATAATTTCGTGAAAACAGTTATATGGACTTTCATTCTCCTAAAAATAGCTTCAAGATTTTTTGCGAGCAGAGTCATTCATGTCGTTCCGACACATCTAGTTTAATTTCAACATTTGCATTTTTCTATCAAAATAACAAAATGGGGAGACATATCTCTGTGTTAGCAGTTTATTTTTTTCTTCAGTTAACATTTAGAGACAGTCTAAGGTTAAACTCTTTCAGTCATCACTAATGTTGTCAAACCGTCATGGAATTTTATGTAAATTGGACAGGTGCTTTTTTATGATCTAATCTCAGTGTCCAGAGCAAAATTATGAAAATATTTTCCATATTTTACTGATAAAATTACTTAGTTTTTTTTTTGCAGTTACTGTGACTTGACTGTAAGCGTTTCGTTCCATCTGTTGTAGTTCATTCAAAATTCTGACCTAACTGCAATTTGTTTTATCAAATTAAACTGTTCAACTGGTCATTTTAACAAACTGGTGATAAACACATTCAAGTCAACAAAGTGCAAAGTGATAGATAAAGCATAATTATTATTGCTGATTTTTTTTTAATTATATATTTCAAGTTTTATTTGTCAACATGAGAAGCTATAATGAATGGTGTATTTGAATATAACTCCATTTTTTAAAGCAGATTAAATATAAAGTTTATTTCCATTATGTTTTTCTATTGTTTCTGATTCAAAGGCAGACCAAAACTACTATCATTACTATAAAGTGTTTATTATATTTAAGGGCCAAGAAGGACCTTCTGGACCAAAAGGTGAACCAGTGAGTATGACAATATAATCAACATAAGGTTTTATATTGTTTGTTTCCAATCATCACAGTTCATGCATTTGTTGCTTAATTTGCTGCCTAATATTTCATATTCTAACATGACCAATTTGGACAGTCATTTTTTGAAACCATTTTGTACTTTAATTAGTATACCACTCTTAAAATATATACTACACTTATTGAAACATGGTCACCACCATATTTGCAAGCCAAGAGTAACAGTCCATCCTTGTTCCTCTCCAGGAAGTTGGGTAGACCCTCATCATACTGCTTGATTTGCATAGATAGATCATCTTAGTCACATTTTGTTTTGTTGTCTCTCCATGCTTTGTTTACAGATAATGAATTTTATTTAAATATTTTATAATTTATGTATTTACTGTGAGATGATTAAAAAAAAAATTCATTTCTCAGGAAACACAGTTCTTCGTGCAGTGAATTAGCATTTTATTTACAGGCATACACTTTTAATATCAACTTCAGGTGAATTTGCCAATATTTATATTCATATACTAGGATTACCTTTAATGGTGGAACTTATTAGAAATTCAACCTCTATCCTGTAAAATAATTGCATAGACTCATTAGCATTATACAAATGACATTTAATAGTTGTACTCTATGCTGGAGTTGCAGCAATCAGTTATTTAAAGTTCTTATTCTATTTTTAGGGACTTGTTGGTCCAAAGGGAAATAATGGTCCACCGGTAAGTTACTGTTCATTAAAGTTTTAGTCATTAAGAATAAATTTAATATAAACATTGATGTGATTTTATCAATAATGGAAATTGGCTAGATATTGATCAAACATTGAAGTGATAAATGTCTGATATATATTTGTATTTTTGCATAGAAACAAATTGATGTTATATTGTAATCACGTATTAGGTCTCCTTGTGTGAAAGGTGATGTATGTCAGTCACACCTTATTTTGTCAAAAAATAATACAAGATACATGTTCATTGCATCTTCACCAAATTGAAAACAAATATTTTCCCGGATAGGAAAGGTGATATTCCTATTTAATATGAAGGTCAGATGTCAAAGATTAAGCTGATATAATATTTTTAAGGAATTACTACAGATATGTGAGATTGAGGAGATGCCATTGTATTGGGGTCTAATTTTTAATTATCAGCAATTTTCACATTTTTTCTTTGATCCTAATACCTGATATTTTGTTTAGATCATGGACAGGATATGATACTGAAAAATATTCGACAATGATGTCACGTAACACTGCAGCAATGTCAAGCATGATGCCCATCCTATCAATTTATCAATGAAATTCAAGCGGCTTCATTCATATAATCCATTAACTATCGCAACTTTTTATATGACCACAAAAAAAATTTTGTGGTCGTATATTGGTATGACGTTGGCGTCGTCGTCGTCTTCCGAAGACACATTAGTTTTCGCACTCTAACTTTAGTTTAAGTGAATGGATCTCTATGAAATTTTACCATAAGGTTCAATACCACAAAAGGAAGGTGGGGATTGATTTTGGGGGTTATGGTACTAACAGTTCAGGAATTAGGGGCCAAAAATAAGCATTTTTGTAACTTCAAGACATAACTTGTGTGTAAGTGTATGGATCTCTCTGACATTATACCACAAGGTTTCATATCACAAAGGGAATGCTGGGATTGATTTTCGGGGAAATTGCCTCCAAATTTTAGGAATTGGGGGCCAAAAAGGGGCAAAAAACAAGCATTTTTCTAGTTTCCAGACAATAACTTGTGTGTAAGTGTATGGATCTCTCTGACATTGTATCACAAGGTTCCATATCACAAAGGGAATGCTGGGATTGATTTTGGGGGTAATTGCCTCCAAATGTTAGGAATTAGGGGCCAAAAAGGGGCAAAAAATAAGCATTTTTCTAGTTTCATGACAATAACTTGTGTGTAAGTGTATGGATCTCTCTGACATTGTATCACAAGGTTCCATATCACAAAGGGAATGCTGGGATTGATTTTTGGGGTAATTGCCTCCAAATTTTAGGAATTAGGGGCAAAAAAGGGGCAAAAAACAAGCATTTTTCTAGTTTCATGACAATAACTTGTGTGTAAGTGTATGGATCTTTATGAAATTGTACTACAAGGTTCCATATCACAAAGGGAAAGCTGGAATTGAGGTTGGGGGTAAATGCCCAAAAAGTTTAGGAATAAGGGGCCAAAAATAAGCATTTTTCTAGTTTCCAGACAATAACTTGTGTTCAGGTGTATGGATCTCTCTGAAATTGTACTGCAAGGTCTCATACCACAAAGGGAAGGCTGGGATTGATTTTGGGGGTGATTCCCTCAAAATTTTAGGAATTAGGGGCCATAAAAGGGCAAAAAAACAAGCATTTTTCTAGTTTCAGGACAATAACTTGTGTGTAAGTGTATGGATCTTTATGGAATTGTACTGCAAGGTTCCATATCACAAAGGGAAAGCTGGGTTTGAGTTTGGGGGTAATTGCCCTAAACGTTTAGGAATTTGGGACCAAAAAGGGGCCAAAAAACAAGCATTTTTCTAGTTTCCAGACAATAACTTGTGTTCAAGTGAATGGATCTCTCTGAAATTGTACTGCAAGGTACCATACCACAAAGGGAAGGCTGGGATTGAGTTTGGGGGTGATGAATCATAAGGGGGTTCCTTTTTTTATTTTAAAATTTTCCATTTTAAATTGGTTATTTCTGATAATGATATGGTTTGAATAGGTAAATTAAAATTTTTATACGACCGCAAAAAAATTTTTGTGGTCGTATATTGGTATGACGTTGGCGTCGTCGTCCGAAGACACATTGGTTTTCGCATTCTAACTTTAGTTAGAGTGAATGGATCTCTATGAAATTTTACCACAAGGTTCAATACCACAAAAGGAAGGTTGGGATTGATTTTGGGGGTTATGGTACCAACAGTAAAGGAATTAGGGGCCAAAAAAGGGCCAAAAATAAGCATTTTTGTAACTTCCAGACATAACTTGTGTGTTAGTGTATGGATCTCTCTGACATTGTACCACAAGGTTCCATATCACAAAAGGAATGCTGGGATTGATTTTGGGGGTAATTGCCTCAAAATTTTAGGAATTAGGGGCCAAAAAAGGGGCAAAAAACAAGCATTTTTCTAGTTTCATGACAATAACTTGTGTGTAAGTGTATGGATCTTTCTGAAATTGTACTACAAGGTTCCATATCATAAAGGGAAAGCTGGAATTGAGTTTGGTAGTAATTGCCGAAACATTTAGGAATTGGGGGCCAAAAAGGGGCCAAAAATAAGCATTTTTTCTAGTTTCCAGACAATAACTTGTGTTCAAATGTATGGATCTCTCTGAAATTGTACTGCAAGGTACCATACCACAAAGGGAAGGCTGGGATTGATGATGGAGGTAATTGCCTCAATATTTTAGGAATTAGGGGCCAAAAAGGGGCAAAAAACAAGCATTTTTCTAGTTTCAGGACAATAACTTGTGTGTAAGTGTATGGATCTCTCTGAAATTGTACTGCAAGGTACCATACCACAAAGGGAAGGCTGGGATTGATGATGGGGGTAACTGCCTCAATATTTTATGAATTTGGGGCCAAAAAGGGGCCAAAAAACACATTTTTATACGACCGCAAAAATTGAAAATTTTTTGGTCGTATATTGGTATGACGTTGGCGTCGTCGTCGTCGTCGTCGTCGTCTGGCGTCGTCCGAAGACACATTGGTTTTCGCACTCTAACTTTAGTTTAAGTGAATGGATCTCCATGAAATTTTACCATAAGGTTCAATACCACGAAAGGAAGGTGGGGATTGATTTTGGGGGTTATGGTACCAACAGTTAAGGAATTAGGGGCCAAAAAGGGGCCAAAAATAAGCATTTTTGTAACTTCCAGACAATAACTTGTGTGTAAGTGTATGGATCTCTCTGACATTGTACCACAAGGTTCCATATCACAAAGGGAAGGCTGTAATTGATTTTGGGGGTAATTGCCTCAAAATTTTAGGAATTAGGGGCCATAAAAGGGGCAAAAAACAAGCATTTTTCTAGTTTCATGACAATAACTTGTGTGTAAGTGTTTGGATATTTCTGAAATTGTACTACAAGGTTCCATATCACAAAGGGAAAGCTGGAATTGAGTTTGGGGGTAATTGCCCGAAACGTTTAGGAATTGGGGGCCAAAAAGGGGCCAAAAATAAGCATTTTTCTAGTTTCCAGACAATAACTTGTGTTCAAGTGTATGGATCTCTCTGAAATTGTACTGCAAGGTACCATACCACAAAGGGATGGCTGGGATTGAGTTTGGGGGTGATGAATCATAAGGGGGTTCAAAAAATTTGGGGGGGGGGGATTTTTTTTTTTCTTTTTTTTTCTTTTTTTCATTTTTTTTTTTCTTTTAAAATTTTCCATTTTAAGTTGGTTATTTCTGATTAATATTTAAAAGCAAATAATAATGATATGGTAGGAGATACACACCAAACAGGATGTGTAAATTATTATCTAATAAGTATTGTGCAATAGCAAGAAATTTTCAATTGCACAGTATTGCACAATTGCAAGAAATCTTCAATTGCACAATATTGCGCAATAGCAAGAAATCTTCAATTGCACAGTATTGCGCAATAGCAAGAAATATCCAATAGCACAATATTGCGCAATAGCAAGAAATTGTCAATTGTACAGTATTGCACAATAGCAAGAAATATTCAATTGCACAGTATTGTGCAAAAGAAGATACTTCGTATAAATTGCTTATTTCTTGATCAATTTCAATGGGGTTTTATTCTTGAATTCTTGGGGTTCTTTAATATGCTGAATCTAACCGTGTATTAAGTTTTTGGATTTTGGGCCCCGTTTTTAAATTGGTCCACATTGAGGTCTAAAGGGTCCAAAATTTAACTTTGTTTGATTTCATCAAAAATTGAATTATTGGGGTTCTTTGATATGCCGAATCTAACCGTGTATTTAGATTCTTAATTTTTGGTTCTGTTTTCAAATTGGTCTACATTAAGGTCAAAAGGGTCCAAAATTAACCTTAGTTTGATTTTAACAAAAATTGAATTTTTAGGGTACTTTGATATGCTGAATCTAAACATGTATTTCGATTTTTGATTATGGGCCCAGTTTTCAAGTTGGTCCAAATCGGGGTCCAAAATTAAACTTTGTTTGATTTCAACAAAAATTGAATATATGGGGTTCTTTGATATGCTGAATCTAACCATGTATTTAGATTTTTGATTTTTGGGCCCTGTTATCAACTTTGTCCACATTGAGGTCAAAAGGGTCCAAAATTAAACTTTGTTTGATTTCATCAAAAATTGAATTCTTGGGGTTCTTTGATATGCTGAATCTAACCATGTATTTAGATTTTTTATTTGTGGACCCGCTATCAAATTGGTTCATATTGAGGTCAAAAGGGTCCAAAATTAAACTTTGTTTGATTTCATCAAAAATTGAATTATTGGGGGTTCTTTGATATGCCAAATCTAACCGTGTATTTAGATTTTTAATTTTGGGTCCCGTTTTTAAATTGGTCTACATTAAGGTCCAAAGGGTCCAAAATTAAACTTATTTTGATTTTAACAAAAATTGAATTCTTGGGGTTCTTTGATATGCTGAATCTAAACATGTGTTTAGATTTTTGATTATGGGCCCAGTTTTCAAATTGGTCTACATTAAGGTCCAAAATTAAACTTTGTTTGATTTCAACAAAAATTGAATATATGGGGTTCTTTGATATGCTGAATCTAAACATGTATTTAGATTTTAGATTTTTGGTCCAGTTTTCAAGTTGGTCCAAATTGGGGTCCAAAATTAAACTTTGTTTGATTTCAACAAAAATTGAATATATGGGGTTCTTTGATATGCTGAATCTTACCATGTATTTAGATTTTTTATTTGTGGGCCCGCTATCAAATTGGTTCATATTGAGGTCAAAAGGGTCCAAAATTAAACTTTGTTTGATTTCATCAAAAATTTAATTATTGGGGTTCTTTGATATGCCAAATCTAACCGTGTATTTAGATTTTTAATTATGGGTCCCGTTTTTTAAATTGGTCTACATTAAGGTCCAAAGGGTCCAAAATTAAACTTAGTTTGATTTTAACAAAAATTGAATTTTTGGGGTTCTTTGATATGCTGAATCTAAACATGTGTTTAGATTTTTGATTATGGGACCAGTTTTCAAGTTGGTCCAAGTTGGGGTCCAAAATTAAACTTTGTTTGATTTCAACAAAAATTGAATATATGGGGTTCTTTGATATGCTGAATCTAAACATGTATTTAGATTTTAGATTTTTGGTCCAGTTTTCAAGTTGGTCCAAATTGGGGTCCAAAATTAAACTTTGTTTGATTTCAACAAAAATTGAATATATGGGGTTCTTTGATATGCTGAATCTTACCATGTATTTAGATTTTTTATTTTGTGGGCCTGCTATCAAATTGGTTCATATTGAGGTCAAAAGGGTCCAAAATTAAACTTTGTTTGATTTCATCAAAAATTGAATTATTGGGGTTCTTTGATATGCCAAATCTAACCGTGTTTTTAGATTTTTAATTTTGGGTCCCGTTTTTTAAATTGGTCTACATTAAGGTCCAAAGGGTCCAAAATTAAACTTAGTTTGATTTTAACAAAAATTGAATTCTTGGGGTACTTTGATATGCTGAATCTAAACATGTGTTTAGATTTTTGATTATGGGACCAGTTTTCAAGTTTGTCCAAGTTGGGGTCCAAAATTAAACTTTGTTTGATTTCAACAAAAATTGAATATATGGGGTTCTTTGATATGCTGAATCTAACCATGTATTTTGATTTTGGACATTGGACCATAATAGGTAAATTAAAAAAATTGAAGTTCTTAGACCACATTCTTTCTGTGTCAGAAACCTATGCTGTGTCAAATATTTAATCACAATCCAAATTCAGAGCTGTATCAAGCTTGAATGTTGTGTCCATACTTGCCCCAACTGTTCAGGGTTCGACCTCTGCGGTCGTATCAAGCTGCGCCCAGCGAAGCATTTTATTCTAGTTTCCAGACAATAACTTGTGTTCAAGTGTATGGATCTCTCTGAAATTGTACTGCAAGGTACCATACCACAAAGGGAAGGCTGGGATTGAGTTTGGGGGTGATGAATCATAAGGGGGTTCAAAAAATTAGGGGGGGGGGGATTATTTTTTTTTCCTTTTTTTTTTTTCTTTTAAAATATTCCATTTTAAGTTGGTTATTTCTGATTTATATTTAAAAGCAAATAATAATGATATGGTAGGAGATACACACCAAACAGGATGTGTAAATTATTATATAATAAGTATTGTGCAATAGCAAGAAATATTTAATTGCACAGTATTGTGCAAAAGAAGATACTTCGTATAAATTGCTTATTTCTTGACCAATTTCAATGGGGTTTTATTCTTGAATTCTTGGGGTTCTTTAATATGCTGAATCTAACCGTGTATTAAGTTTTTGGATTTTGAGCCTCGTTTTAAATTGGTCCACATTGAGGTCCAAAGGGTCCAAAATTAAACTTTGTTTGATTTCATCAAAAATTGAATTAATGGGGTTCTTTGATATGCCGAATCTAACCGTGTATTTAGATTCTTAATTTTTGGTTCCGTTTTCAAATTGGTCTACATTAAGGTCCAAAGGGTCCAAAATTAAACTAAGTTTGATTTTAACTAAAATTGAATTCTTAGGGTTCTTTGATATGCTGAATCTAAACATGTATTTAGATTTTTGATTATGGGCCCAGTTTTCAAGTTGGTCCAAATCGGGGTCCAAAATTAAACTTTGTTTGATTTCAACAAAAATTGAATATATGGGGTTCTTTGATATGCTGAATCTAACCATGTATTTAGATTTTTGATTTTTGGGCCCCGTTATCAACTTTGTCCACATTAAGGTTAAAAGGGTCCAAAATTAAACTTTGTTTGATTTCATCAAAAATTGAATTCTTGGGGTTCTTTGATATGCTGAATCTAACCATGTATTTAGATTTTGGATATTGGACCATAATAGGTGAATGTCCAATTTAAAATTTTTAAAATCTTAGACCACATTCATTCTGTGTGAGAAACCTATGCTGTGTCAAATATTTAATCACAATCCAAATGCAAAGCTGTATCAAGCTTGAATGTTGTCTCCATACTTGCCCCAAATGTTCAGGGTTCGACCTCTGCGGTCATATCAAGCTGCGCCCTGCGGAGCATTTTATCTAAGTTCTTAGACCACATTCATTCTGTGTCAGAAACCTATGCTGTGTCAAATATTTAATCACAATCCAAATTTAGTGCTGTATCAAGCTTGAATGTTGTGTCCATACTTGCCCCAACTGTTCGGGGTTCGACCTCTGCGGTCGTATTAAGCTGTGCCCAGCGGAGCATTTTATTTTATACTGACTTCATTAGCTGAAATATCGACTCACCCTGGTGGGCTTCCTTGATATTCTTACTAATAAAGCTATATCAAAAACAAAAATGCCATTATTCTATGTATACAGTGGTGGAACAAGGATTTGAAAGACAGAGTTCCTGAATGGGTCATTAAAAAAAGGGTTCCAGCAGTCAAAAATCAGAAAAATGTACTAAAAACAATTACTTTTTGCCATATGTGGGTAATTTAAAACTGAATAAAAATGTATATGATTTTATTTGAAAAATATTATATGTAATGAAATTTTGTAAGTCAGTTTTGTTCAATGACATTTAAAATTTGTCAGCTAATCCTTAAACCATCATTTTATTTTCTTTAGGGTCCATCTGGACCAATGGGACCACCAGGTGAGCAACAGGCCTTCCCAGCTGAACTTCTAGGTAGATACATGGCCACTGGTGACAAAGCTGGTGTAAATGGCCGTAGACGAAGGTCTGTTCCAGACTTCCAGAATGATATGGCTGCTATGGTAGAAGACATGGGTTCGAAACAGGTTGAACTGAAAGAAGGAGTAACTCTGGTAGTTAGTAGACTGTTTAGTCAGATAGACCAACTAAGAGCAGAGGTAAAGAAGATCAGATACCCTACTGGACAAGAAGACAGCCCAGCACCAACCTGCCGTGACATTCAAATGGTTAATGAAGATGCTAAAGATGGTATGTAAAATTCCTAAACACTCCTGGCTTCAACAACATTGTTTCCAAGAATGTTTTGTTGTTGATATGTTCATTAATTTTTTTTTTAAGGTTGTTTAATTAAGGACGACATCAAAAGTTCAATGTAGGATAAAAAACTTAATTCATGTAGTTTTTTCACTGACCCTCCCCACCCCCCAACTTAACTTAATTTGGGAAAAATTGATTGACCAATATGGGCATATGCTTTCAGAGTATATTTGTATCATGAGTCCTGTTTTTCCTCAACAATGTATGTTTGTTCTGTATATTGAGTTGGACATCACTTTTAAAAATATTGGAAAAAAGTGATGGGAATTTTTAGTATGCATCAAAAAAGGCACTGTTAAATTATAATTTTATAAACACTACAGTCAGGATGGATTCTGCATTTTTCATCTGCCCACTATTGGCATGTATAAATAGTGGGTTTATGGTTTTGATTGTTTTTGTTTCTTTTCTCAAATGAAAAACAGTTCATTGTTTCATATAAAATACATAGCTTTAAACTAAACAAGTGGTCCATTGAAATGTATGGTGATGACAGGGCAGTGCATTTGTTCTAACTGTGGAGAGAGGGAAAAGCACAATCCCAAATGAACGTAGTGAATGTGATATGATCTATGTAATTTCTATTCAATGTCTGTTGACCACTGTCATATTTTTCTACTATCTCAAAAAAATTCTATATAACTTTCAAATTTGTATTTATACCCCACGCAACAAGTTGCGGAGGGTATAATGTTTTTGACCCGTCCATCCGTCTGTCCATCCGTCAGTCCGTCAGTCCGTCAGTCTGTCAGTCCGTCAGTCCGTCAGTCCTGTTTCTTGTCATCGCAACTCCTCTCAAACCACACAACAGAATTTCACGAACCCTTTTTAGATAATAAGGACATACTATGTAGTTGTGCATATCGACAGGAAATTACGATTCAATTTTTTTTCTAGGAGTTGCGCCCCTTTGAACTTATTTACTTTAATGTACTACTGCAACAGTTTGTCATCTCAACTTCTCTGAAACCACACAACAAAATTTCATAAAACTTTGTAGATAATAAGGACATACTACGTAGATGTGCATATCAACAGGAAATTACGATTCAATTTTTTTTCCAGGAGTTACTCCCCTTTGAACTTATTTGCCCAATATACTACTGCAACCTTTTGTCATCGCAACTCCTCTCAAACCACACAACAGAATTTCATGAAACCTTTTCAGATAATAAGGACATACAACATAGATGTGCATATCGACAGGAAATTACGATTCAATTTTTTTTCTAGGAGTTATGCCCCTTTGAACTTATTTGATTCAATATACCTCTGTAACAGTTTGTCATCGCAACTCCTCTGAAACCACACAACAGAATTTCATGAAACTTTGTAGATAATAAGGACATACTAGGTAGATGTGCATATCGACAGGAAATTATGATTCAATTTTTTTTCTAGGAGTTACGCCCCTTTGAACTTATTTGCTTCAATATACCTCTGCAACAGTTTGTCATCGCAACTCCTCTGAAACCACACAACAGAATTTCATGAAACTTTGTAGATAATAAGGACATACTATGTAGATGTGCATATCGACAGGAAATTATGATTCAATTTTTTTTTCTTACAGTTATTTTATTTCTCCAGTGACAATGTGGGGACGTGGGGTATGTGAGTGCGCTCACTAAGGTTCTTTAATTGAATTTATATTTCAGTTTTCATTTTAATAATTAAATAATTAACACAATTCAAAGAAAATTTTATAGTTTGTTTTTTGAATGCCACCATGCCGTGTGGACCAAAACAATCTGTGTTGATCTGTATATGGTTTCATATTCAAAATTCACGATCAATAAAGCGTTTGAACGACATAGATACTATGATTCAAAATTGCTTTGCGGTACGATTTGATGGCATTCATTTGGTTTAAAAGTCCAAACATATGTTAGGGCCGAACTTGAATCCGTATTTTTCAATCCGAAAATCGATGTCGGATAACAAAACTTGCAGCGATTTTTATCCCCCCACACCCAAACTATTTGAATTAAGTTTTTTATCCGACATCGATCTTTTGATGTCGTCCCTTATAGAACAACTAAATCATAGAATTTTGAAGTTTTGAAAAAATAATCAGTAATTAGTAACTGAAAAAGTCATTTACTCACGTATGCTTGTAGTGTATGATGGATTTTTCACTGTTGTTCAGTCACGAGTTGAATATTCTTTTTGTTGCAAAGACTTTTAATGTAAATAAGTAGAAAATGAAAGGAACTAAATTTATTTTTCTACTTGGTTGTGATTGCACCGTCTACAATGTCTTGACAACACCTGTTGTATAACGATAGAGGAGTGAAATTACCGGTAAACGATTTCTTTGACATGTCAAATTATCATATTTTATTTGACTGGGAAATCATTGTATTTTATTGCAATGAATGAAATAATTTTTGTTAATCTTTTATTTTTCGAGATATATATTGTTATGCTTCCCCAAAAGTTTAGGGAGCATATAGTAATGGCTAAGTCAGTCCCTCCCATTGTCCAAAACAAATAGTTTCTGGATGGTAACTTGAGTATCTCTTACTTGATTGGAATGAAACTGATACAGATGAAAGATATGGAAAAGGGTAAGACGCTTTTTGATTTTGGGGGTCAATAGGTCAAAGGTAAATGTGACTGTTACTGAAATAGAGACAAAATAAGCGATGCTAAATAAAATATTACATATGGGATTGCGACCTTACTTACATATGATCACATATAATGAGAGAATGATCCCTATTGATTTTCAGGTCACTATGGTCAATCTTATATTTAAGATAAAAAGAATTTTATTGTCGAGCCTGCGACTTTTGTCGCAGAAAGCTCGACATAGGGATAGTGATCCGGCTACGGCGGCTGCGGCGGCGTTAGCTAACTTCTTAAAAGCTTTATATTTTAGAAGGTGGGAGACCTGGATGCTTCATACTTTGTATATAGATGCCTCATGTTACGAAGTTTCCGTCAGTCACATGTCCAATATCCTTGACCTCATTTTCATGGTTCAGCGACTACTTGAAAAAAAAGTTCAGATTTTTTGGAATGTTAAATTCTCTCTTATTATAAGTAATAGGATAACTATATTTGGTATGTGCGTACCTTGCAAGGTCCTCATGCCCGTCAGATAGTTTTCACTTGACCTCGACCTCATTTCATGGATCAGTGAACAAGGTTAAGTTTTCGTGGTCAAGTCCATATCTGAGATACTATAAGCAATAGGTCTACTATATTTGGTGTATGTAATGATAGTAAGGGGTACATGTCCAACTGGCAGGTGTCATCTGACCTTGACCTCATTTTCATGGTTCAGTGGTCATAGTTTAGTTTTTGTGTTTTGGTCTGTTTTTCTAATACTGTATGCAATAAGTCAACTGTATTTGGTGTATGGAAATATTGTACGATGTTCATGTCAGTCTGGCAAGTTTTATTTGACCTTGACCTCATTTTCACGGTTCATTGCTCAATGTTAAGTTTTTGTGTTTTGGTTTGTTTTTCTAATACTGTATGCAGTAGGTCAACTATATTTGGTGTATGGAAATATTTTACGATGTACATGTCAGTCTGGCATGTTTTATTTGACCTTGACCTCATTTTCAAGGTTCATTGCTAAATGTTAAGTTTTTGTGTTTTGGTCTGTTTTCCTAATACTGTATGCAGTAGGTCAACTATATTTGGTGTATGGAAATATTTTACGATGTACATGTCAGTCTGGCATGTTTTATTTGACCTTGACCTCATTTTCAAGGTTCATTGCTAAATGTTAAGTTTTTGTGTTTTGGTCTGTTTTCATAATACTGTATGCAGTAGGTCAACTATATTTGGTGTATGGAAATATTTAATGATGTACATGTCAGTCTGGCAGGTTTTATTTGACCTTGACCTCATTTTCATGGTTCATTGCTTATGTTACGTTTTTGTGTTTTGGTCTGTTTTTCTTACACTTTAAGCAATAGGTCAACTATATTTGGTGTATGGAATGATTGTAAGGTGTACATGTCTAGCTGGCAGGTGTCATTTGACCTTGACCTCATTTTCATGGTTCAGTGGTCAAAGTTAAGATTTTGAGTTTTGGTCTTTTTTTCTAATACTATATGCAATAGGTCAATTATATTTGGTGTATGGAAATATTTTATGGTCTTTATGTCAGTCGCGCAGTTTTTATTTGACCTTGACCTCATTTTCACAGTTCATTGCTCAGTGTTAAGTTTTTGTGTTTTGGTCTGTTTTTCTTAAACTATAAGCAATAGGTCAACTATATTTGTTGTATGGAAGAATTGTTAGCTGTACATGCCTGCCTGGCATGGTTCATCTGACCTTGACCTCATTTCCATGGTTCATTGGTCAATGTTTAGTTTTCTTGGTTAATGTTAAGTTTATGTGACAGTTGTAAGAAAGCTTTATATTTAGGACTATCAACATAATATCAATGATTAGTAAAGAAGGCGAGACATTTCAGCGTGTGCACTCTTGTTTCTGCAAAAGTGGTTTCTGGATGCTTCAAATCAAATACATTTGTTTACTAAATATGTGATTGCAACCTTACTTAGATACACATACTTTTCAGGCAGCTAAATCAAATACTATATATGCCATTGCAACATTACATGGATATATGGTCACATATTATAATAGGAAAATCCCAGTCAATTTGTAGCACCTTGTCTTAAATAGATTTATGTAAGACAATAATACTGTAAAGTTATATCAGAAAAGATTCATACCTTATAGAAAACTGAAAAGCTATGTCATCAGTCACGATTTTCATCGTATATAGGTGATGTTGGGTATGTGAGATTGCTCATTAAAGGTTCTCTAATTTCAATTCATATTTAGCATGACCACCCTATACCATATATGAGAATGCTCACATGACTCTTACACTATTTAATTAAAACTCCATTTAGTCTGAAAATTAGATTGATTAGAAAAAGAATCAAACTCATTCAAGCTTAAAAATCTAAAACATGTCTGTAGATTTTCAGTCAACTCTAACAAGCTTTTAATCTTACTTTCAGTTTTCTGAGACATTACTCAGATGAAACTCATTAAGGATTACATTATTTGTAATTTAGCTTGAGACATTACTCAGATGAAACTTATTAAGGATTACATTATTTGTATTTTACCATGAGACATTATACTCAGATGTAACTTATTAAAGATTAAATCATTTGTATTTTACCATGAGACATTACACAGATGTAACTTATTAAGGATTACATTATTTGTATTTCAGCTTGAGACATTACTCAGATGTAACTTATTAAGGATTACATTATTTGTATTTTAGCTTGAGCCATTACTCAGATGTAACTTATTAAGGATTACATTATTTGTATTTTAGCTTGAGACATTACTGAGATGTAACTTATTAAGGATTACATTATTTGTATTTTAGCTTGAGCCTTTACTCAGATGTAACTTATTAAGGATTACATTATTTGTATTTTAGCTTGAGACATTACTGAGATGTAACTTATTAAGGATTACATTATTTTTATTTTAGCTTGAGCCTTTACTCAGATGTAACTTATTAAGGATTACATTATTTGTATTTTAGCTTGAGACATTACTGAGATGTAACTTATTAAGGATTACATTATTTGTATTTTAGGTTGGTATTGGATTGATCCTAATCATGGTTCTCCAAGTGATGCCATCAAAGTCTGGTGTAACATGGAGTCTGGAGGCCAGACTTGTGTTCATCCTTTGAAAAAATCAGCAGGGGTAAGGTTTCTAAGGATACTTGTCTGACCTTTAGTGGTTCAGTTATTTTGTCTAGTAATTATTTGTAGAGTTGTCAGAATTTTTATGCCCCCGCCATACAGGAGGGGGCGTTAAATTTTACCCTTGTCCGTACGTACGTACGTCCCAAAGTTGGTTTCCGTTCTGTAACTTTAGTTTGCCTCAACCAAATGTTATGAAACTTATACACTACACAATGCTTATTACCACAAAACACAGATTGAGTTTGAATTTTGGTGGTGTCGCTATAACCGTTCTAGAGTTATGCCCCTTTACAAATGGAAAAATTGCTGAATTTTTCGTTTCGGTTTTCTAACTTTAGTTTGCCTCAACCAAATGTTATGAAACGTAAACACAATGCTTATTACCACATAATACAGATCAAGTTCGAAATTGGGTGGCGTCACTTGTACCGTTCTTGAGTAATGCCCTTAATAAACATAAAAACTGCTGAATTTTTCGTTTCTGTTCTCTAACTTTAGTTTGCCTCAACCAAATGTTATGAAACTTATACACAATGCTAATTACCATAAAACACAGATCAAATTTGAATTCTGGTGGCGTCACTATAACCGTTCTAGAGTTATGCCCCTTTACAAATGGAAAAATTGCTGAATTTTTCGTTTCCGTTTTCTAACTTTAGTTTGCCAACCAAATGTTATGAAACTTATACACAATGCTTATTACCACATAATACAGATCAAGTATGATATTGGGTGGCATCACTTGTACAGTTCTTGAGTTGTGCCCCTTTATAAACATAAAAATTGCTGAATTTTTTGTTTCCGTTCCCTTACTTTAGTTTGCTTCAACCAAATGTTATGAAACTTATACACAATGCTAATTACCACAAAATACAGATCAAGATTGAATTTTGGTGGTGTCACTTTTACCGTTCTAGAGTTATGCCTGTTTACAATTGGAAAAATTGCTGAATTTTTCTTTTCTGTTCTCTAACTTAAGTTAGCCTCAACCAAATGTTATGAGATTATACACAATACTTAATTACCACAAAACTCAGATCAAGTACAAATTTGGGTAGAGTCACTTTTACTGTTCTTCAGTTATGTCCCTTTATAACTTTATATGATATGCAAGCGGGGGCATCATCTGTGTCCCATGGACACATTCCCCATTTATTTTTTCTTGAAGTAATCAGTACATTTTACTTTGTTGCTGCCATATCGACTAGAGGAGCTATACATTTTAATATTACATCACAATGATGGCAAAAGTAAGTTTTATTCTTAATCTGTTTATTATCACACCCAACTTTTAATGGTAACCTTATTTTAAATCTAACAAAGGAAAAAGGCATTGAAGCAAAGAAATTTTTTTTTTTGAGAACTACATTTGTACTTCAAAGAACTGGCAAATATTCAGTCTATCTTTTTACTTAAATTTGAGCTTTTGATTTAATATATACAATTTATCTATTTTAAAGTTGAAATAATACCAAAATAATAACAGGTCATTTTCTATCCATGACTTCACAATAAATGCAGTTGTATCGTCACAGGGAAATCCCAACTAAGCTTTTTCTATGAAAAATACATAGATTTTGGTCAATTTTCAGAAATGTTTTGGACCCCAAATAAAGAACTCCTGCAAGTTCCAACATATAATTTATCATAGTGTTTGTCCATATAAACAATACCTTTCATGTAAATATTTTTGTGGTAATTGCATGTGCTCAATATTTCCCACTCGCAAATGTGTGCTTACATCAGCAAATTTTGTAGAAAATTCAAAAAATATCCTATATTTTGACAAAAATCTCTGGAAATATTCATAATATTTCAAACATCTTACAGATTACATTGTGCTTATAATTTTCAATAATCTAATATGCCAAAATCACATGATTTTCAGTTGTAACGCTAATTTTTTTAGGTGAAATAGGGAATTTTGAGCAAGCACCTCCTCCTTTAATCATAATTATAATGAAATGAATAAAATAAAGATTTATCAATGAATTAAGACTACAGTTTTGTGCATATTTCATGATAATGAAGATAGATGCTGAATTTATTCACTTTTACATCAGTATTTCCTTTGTGGAATCATTGTCCAAAGCCAATTATGATATAATGAATATAGAAGAGCTTTCTTACAGCTATTTACATAATCCCACCAAATACTCTTAAATAATGACGATTTTAAACTAACTTTTGAGTTCTTGTCTGTTATATTGAAAACTAGAATAAAAAAGGTAGATACTGAAAACAGAAAAATTATCAGAGATACAAGATGATTTTTGACTGTTGTCCTAGTTTTTATTATGGCCATGCCACTGTTTGTGTTTTTCCCTACTGTTTCTATGCAAAATAGAAAATCAAACAACATTGAACTAATTTTAAATTGCAGTCATTTGGTCCATCAAACTGATCACATGGTGAAACCAGCCTATTGCAGGAATGCTTCATTAATTTTTTCATTTCTGTTTCAGGTACGTCTTAAATCTTGGCCAAGAGTAAAAGATGGCAATCCATTCTTTAGTGAAATGAAAGGAGGTTCAACGGTAATACTAATTAATTTGTCTATTAACATATAAAGTGTTATATTTCTCTTGCATTTATTTCTTGCTATACACTTAATCATTGCAATTTATGGTTGAGCTCTTCATCTTAGTTGAGTACTGTTACAAATGAGATCATTTAATTTATTGGGTTTTTGCTTTTGGAGTCAGTGTGAAGATACATTTTTCTTTTTCTAAAGCACAAAACAAAGAAGGTGTTTGCAAATATTCTTCAAAACTATAGTATGTTACAATTAAAGATCACAAGAAAAAATCTTCTAGTCAGGCATTGGGCCAAACAGCCATTTTAGTTCCATAAGACCTTTGAGCTTCATGAGTCCTACATAGAAAAACACAATATTTTCATTAATGCAATGAAAAACATTATGTGAATTGAACTTGATGTAACAAGTTTGACCATTGCAACTTATATGCATAAATTAAATGATGCCATATATTTCAGGAAAAGTAAATTCTTAATTAATGATTGTCCTTTTCTTACTGTAATCAGGGGGCCCTATATATATTTCAATATTTCTTTATTTTAAAATTTAGATTTTCTTTGTTAATATGAGGTACATTTTTGCATTTACAGATTGAATATCCCGATGAAGTCCAATTGGCGTTCCTCCGTTTAAGTAGTCTGGAAGCATCCCAAAAGTTTACTTACTATTGTAAGAAATCAATAGCATGGTTCGACTCAGAAACGTCAAATTATGACCAGGCCATCACACTTGAAGGTTACAATAGAGAACCGATAGACACCTCTGATGTCAGCAATGTCAATGATGGATGTGCTGTAAGATATTTACTTTGACAAGCAAGACAGAAAATAAAAACATTGCTTTCTAAAGTCACTACAATCACATTTCAAAAATATAAAAAAAATAAAATAGAAAATAAGTATAATTATGCAGGCAGGGCTTTAAAAAATGAGGACAATTACAATTTTGTTTAAATGAGTGAAAATAGCAAAACTCTTGCTACATGTAACATACACAAACTTCACACATTAATTCTCACTATACAGCTACATAACACACAATCTTGCTCAATATTATGTAATTATATAAAAAAAATGAGTAAAACAAAGCGTTTCTAATGGTGTTAAATATAAGTTAGGTATGACTAAAAGCTGATGTAGTTTTAGCATGTAATAAGTTTTAAAACACATGTTATCTCATTCTAATATGACATTCTTATTTCACTTTGTAAACAAAGCTATGTTCTGATTAAAATAAAACATGTGGTACAAGTGCTTGATGTCACAATTGAATTTGCAAGGTCAGTGAATTTTTAACAACCCTGGAGTTCAAAATAGACATTACTGGAGGAGTTGCATTGCACATTTGTCTTTAAGGTCTGATTAAAAAAAAGTTGATTTTTTTTCTTTAAAAATTGAAATAATTCTTTCATTACATGCTCTATTCTCATTTTAACATGGATTTCCTTTGTGAATACTTCTGTATTTGTTTGTCAATATCCCTTCAGTATGTGAAAATTAAACTAATAAGATTTGTCAGCAGACAACTTTTATCTTTAAAGTTATATTTGCCTAATTCAAAACATTATTTTTCCAACTTATTTTCATGTCCATATTTTTTTATATTTGCAGGATCGTTCTGGAGAGGGTAAAACTATATTTGATGTCTATGCCTCTGATGTTTCCATTCTACCAATCATGGACTTTGCACCCAAAGATTATGGAGCGGATGGCCAAGAGTTTGGATTTGAAGCAGGACCTGTTTGCTTCTACTAGAACTTAAACGTCTGTGTCATGCAGTTCAAATAGAAACTTGGACAACGACAGCACTGCTTTATGTTTTACACACAGCAGAACACTTTATGTTGCTTTATTTTTCAGTAGATTTAAAATGAATGTACAAAACATGTCTTTAGAAATTTGCATTGCTCAATAAATTTGCTTAATTGGTGCTTCCAAAAAAAATGAAATAAAAACATTACTGAACATATTATTTATTTTTAAATATTACATGCCATGTATGTGAGATAATTGTATATGTTAGAAAGAGAAATGTTAGCTTTTGTAATAGAATACTCCAGCATAGACAAAGTTTATTGTCTCACTTTTGTTCTTTCCATTCATTTATTTCTTATTGCACATTTTACATTTCAAGTAACATATCAAAAATTTGAAGTTATACTTAATGTTATTAAAAAATGAAAAAGTTTTTGTATACTGCTCAACATAAAGCCAGGAGAATATCACACACCATATATTTTTGTCAATTTCTATTTATATTGGAATTAAGTTAGGAAGTATTGTTTTTGTAGAATTTCACAGCTGCTTATCTTAAATTGTAAATATTATTAGAATTCAGGCCTGTGAGAAATTTCTATGTGTATTTTCTTGGTAGATTCCTTTTTATTGTTGTTATTCTACCTTTCCTCTTTTCGTGAAAAAACTACACCCAAACTCATGCAAATGTTAACTAACTTTTCTGAAACTGATCAGATTTATACCTATAATTGTTTAGACATTTTTTAGGTATCAGAATATGTATTGCTCAGGTGAAACAGCTTGCTTTTTAAGTGACTTTACTTCAGTGACCTCTGAACACGTTTGTTTTTATATTTAAAAAAAAAAATGCTCTTTACAAAATCAAATACATAATTGACTAATTGCAATAATATTGGTTAATGCTTATGATTCAATAATGAATAAGGGAATACACATATTCTCAGACAAGATGCTTTATAGATTACTTAATATTATTCTGGAATAACAAAAGTAGATTTCTTACAGGCCTGATTATTAATTGTTTATATACAGCAGGCAGGGGCCAAGTGGAAATAAAACATATATATCTAGTCTATATAGTCTGTAAAGAGAAGCTGGTTCTGTGATTCAACATTGTATTTTGTAATTTTGTATCATTGTTTTTACTTTTTTATGAATTTTTTTATTTGCAAATGTTTAAATATTTCTTATTTTCTCAGAAAACTTGAGTAATCAATTGCTAAAAAGGAATGCATTTTAATTCAGTTTCTGTTGTATGTTGAACTTACTTTTAATTGTTAATAATGTTTTTGTGTAAAGTAAGGAGAATTTAAACATTTGTATTGTACTTATTATCCGTCCAGTCACAGAACAGCATGACAACTAGCTCAATCACTGCCACAGAACACATTTTTGCAAAATAAAAGTATTTACCTTTCATTTTTAGCTTGTTTTTTATGAGATGGGGTTAATATGGGATAATAGAAGTGATCACAAAGACTTAGCATATGTATTGTACAACAGATTTGACAGAATTGCCTACTTTGCGTTGTTTCTCTAGACAGAACACTGGGTTGAAAATTTTAATGATTTTCATTTCTGAAACTATTTGATCTATTATAGGCAGTCCTTATTGAAATGGTAAGGGATGACTGATCTTTCTTTGAATTATATTACTGACCATTCTATAGACATTTTGCATTTTGAATAGATTGCAATAGGTGGAGAGCAGCACTTACAATGAAGTCAGTAATTTTTACTCGTAAAACAAAATGTGTCAGTAGGGTATATCTGTAGTCTAATGAAGAAAAATCAAAATTAACCAAAACTAAAGGAAACTGTTCCCAAGTAATTTTTATACACTAATGTACCAAAAGTTAGCTCAAGATCTGAAGGCATCACAAAAAAAACCCAGACAAGTACAATTTTCATGAAATGTTTTAAGTTTTAACAAGCCTTACGGCTGTTATTCCACAATGATTTCATCAACCAGAAAGTCAATCTATTAGCCATCATAATACACTAAAATACTTAGAATCAGCTCCAGATCCGAAGACATCATAACAATAAGATGGCTGTAATAATTCCATTAACTACAAGGAAATGCAACTATTATCATTCTTTACATTATTATTATTCACTAATATCCCAAAAGTTAGCTCCACTTCCTCAGACATTTCACAAAAAAAACCCGGTCAAGTGTTATTTCCATGAAATTTTTAAAGTTGGTCAACCAGAATGAAATGCAAAACTAAATTTGAAAAGTATGAGGCAATCAGATACTTCTGAATCAAGGGCATAGCAACAATTGCATTACACAACTTGATTTAAAAAATTGTATTCATTGTATTCATAATCAGATAAATACATGATTCTCACTGAATTACTATTTATAACTTACCTGTACATCATGACCAATGTGAGCTATTACCATCAGTAGGTGTCTGTAATCTTTCCTCTAAAAATTTTTCAAATTTTCTTCAACTGCTCGGAAACTATACAATTTTATAGCTATAAATACGTTACCATCATAAATTCTGAGTGTAACCCCAATTGCGTCATAGGTCAGATGAAAATCCCGACTAAAAATAAATGTACTCTCACTGGTCAGGACATATACCCCTGTTTGCCCATATTCTCCCATTCAATTTCCATCTGTGACACGGTCACCTGTGCAAATTATTACAGATTCAACAGAGAAGTGTTTAGTTGTTTGTAAAGTTGGGGGTAATTGCCACAAAATTTAAGGAATAAGGGGCCAAAAAGGGGCAAAAAACAAGCATTTTTCTAGTTTCAGGACAATAACTTGTGTGTAAGTGTATGGATCTTTCTGAAATTGTACTACAAGGTTCCATATCACAAAGGAAAAGCTGGAATTGAGTTTGGGGGTAATTGCCCAAAACGTTTAGGAATAAGGGGCCAAAAATAAGCATTTTTCTAGTTTCCAGACAATGACTTATGTTCAAGTGTATGGATCTCTCTGAAATTGTACTGCAAGGTACCATACCACAAAGGGAAGGCTGGGATTGATTTTGGGGGTAATTGCCTCAAAATTTTAGGAATTAGGGGCCAAAAAGGGGCAAAAAACAAGCATTTTTCTAGTTTCAGGACAATAACTTGTGTGTAAGTGTATGGATCTTTATGAAATAGTACTACAAGGTTCAATGTCACAAAGGGAAAGCTGGGTTTGAGTTTGAGGGTAATTTCCTTAAATGTTTAGGAATTTGGGGCCAAAAAGGGGCCTAAAAACAAGCATTTTTCTAGTTTCCAGACAATAACTTGTGTTCAAGTGTATGGATCTCTCTGAAATTGTACTGCAAGGTACCATACCACAAAGGGAAGACTGGGATTGAGTTTGGGGGTGATGAATCATAAGGGGGTTCAAAAAATTGGGGGGGGGGGGGGGTTTTCCTTTTTTTTCTTTAAAATTTTCCATTTTAAATTGGTTATTTCTGATTTATATATAAAAGCAAATAATAATGATATGGTTTGAATATGAATAGGTAAATTAAAATTTTTTAAGTTCTTAGACCACATTCATTCTGTGTCAGAAACCTATGCTGTGTCAAATATTTAATCACAATCCAAATTAAGTGCTGTATTAAGCTTGAATGTTGTGTCCATACTTGCCCCAACTGTTCAGGGTTCGACCTCTGCGGTCGTATCAAGCTGCGCCCAGCGGAGCATTTTATTTTTGACTAAAGTAAATTTTATTATGGACTTTAATTTGAATAGTCCTTACGTAAATATTCCTGGTTCGGACTATCTCCTAGATGGGTCACTACCTTTAAGTCCCCCCTCCCCCCCCCCCCCCCCCCCCCAAACTACCAGTACATTGACCGGAGTTTCGACAACGGTGTCTGGTAATACTACCTATCCGACTCTTTCACAAGGTTCGGCCATGCATTTTGGGGGGGTACCTACGTCAACTTCGGTGACTCATACTTTATCTAGGCCTGTTAATTCATCGGGTACTATTGGTTCTGTCAAAGGTACAGCTATGGGCTTGAACTTGCCAGGTTCTAGACCCCCATTATCCTATTGTGGGTATATGCTTCCCAACTCGGGCACCCAACCTTTACCCTCATGGTCTCAGCCACCTTGGCCACAGTCTTACCCTTATGGTGGGTTTATGCCAAACCAACCTGGTTTTTGGCCTTATAGGGACAATTTCTATGGTCCCCCTTCTGGGGTAGCTACTGCACCACCTTTAGATCCTGCTCCACCCGTAGCAGTACCTTTGACTCCTGCAGTAGCTCCTTCTACCACCGTACCTGACTCGAGCTCAATCTTCTAGCTCTTCTCATGGTACTCAGGGTTCTGATCATGCATCATCTTTGGATGGTTTTCAGAAGTTACGATTTAGTACTCTATCCAGTCGTATGTCTCTACTGGAGAAAAGAGTTTCTTCTCATCAACCTTCTCCAGCTAAGTCTGTAGAATATGATGAGAGGGAGGATGACGAGCTTTCTGTTTCCCCTGTGAGTCATGAAAGGGCTTTCCTCACTGATGAGGATGTTGAAAGTGGGAGCGTCTTTTTACCACAGAACACTACAGAATACCACAGAATACCACAGAACACTAAAAATATACCACAGAACTCCGAAATAGTAACAATTTAAATATTTTAATAGTATCTTCCTCAAATTTCAAGTGTAAAATTCAAGAAACAAGTGTAGATAAACTTTATCTGTGGTCAAATTTCAATAATAAGAGAGATAAAATTTAAGTGGAAAATTTTAATTTGATAACATCAATAACAAAACAATTCAATAAATACATGGTTAAGGTGATTAATGTCTTTTTTCGGCTCTTTCTGTTCTTGTTCTCTTTCTCTGCATAGGTTTCCTGGCTATTGACTTAGCCTTGTTGACAACAGAATAAAGTCCATCTGAGGAAGTTATGATAGTATCATGTTTCTTTTCTTCCTGTCCTGTAGGAAATTAGTGAAGAGCTTTCGTTTTTCCTCATCTGATTTGGTTTTCCAGATGGCATCAGCTATAGTATACTGTTTGTATGAATGAACAAGCATGTAGTCCCGAGAATGATGACTGAAGGGTCGACCGAAGATTAATGAACTGGAAGTCCACCATGTCAAATAGTTTATCAACCAAATCTGGAGCATGTTGGGGCTTCCAGTTGACTGCAACTTTCACCACCCGTCTTATATACCATATACCATGTTACCATTGATTTGCGATCGGTGATGAATAGATTTAGTAATTACCGTCTAATTCATATTAGTTCATGCATTTTGTAAAGTTAAATTAATGTTATGTTGCATATTTATGTTGTTTTGTTGTTTGTTTTTATGTTCTGTGGTATATTTTGAGTGTTCTGTGGTATTCTGTGGTGTTCTGTGGTTTTCTGTGGTGTTCTGTGGTAAAAAGACGCTCCGGTTGAAAGTTCTTCTTCTCCCAAGGTATCGAAGACGGCCCCTGAGCCTTCTTCTAAGTCAGCTCAACAACCTCCCACCAAGGAGACTGAGGATCCTCCGTCCTTGAAGGATCTTAGGGATAAGGTGTATACCTTGATGAGGGATGAAGCACATATCCCTTTTGCCTCTCCTTCCAAGCCGAAGAAACCTTCTTCAACTTTTGAAGCTTCCTGTGGTATTTCTCAAGATACTATGACTTCTCACAATTCTTTTCCTGAATCTGGCCATATGGCATTTGCTATACAATTTATTAATGAAGGTATCGCTAATGCTGCTAGTGAAAAGGTTGCTAATAACAATATCTCTGGATTTGGAATGTCATCCTTTTCTGATCAGGTTAAGTACAAGGATTTTGATATCTTTGATTCTTCACTGGGTAGACTTGTTCCCAGTTGTGACAAATCTCTTTCATCTTTAAAAAAGCCAGTAGATGGTCTTCGTCTCACTCAACCTGTTTGGTCAAAGACTGAGAATCTCCTTCGTAGTGCTTGTCAGGTTCTTGGCACAGCCGAACATTTTCTAGCTGTACCGGACATTTGCTTAACAGCGAAGATTCGGTTATTCCAGCAGAAGTACGATCCTTCTTACTTCAACTGGATAAAGCTCTAGGTTCATCTCAGTTGCTTTTAATGGGTTCTACTGCTAATTGCACCCTATCTAAAAGAGCAGTTTCTGTTGCTGAGCCTTTGAAAGATTCTTTCAAGAGGAACTCAGCAAAAACCCTCCTCCAGTCAAAGTTAGTGTACAAGTTACTAATGGCAAGAGGTCGGTTAATGCTACATCTAGTTCTACTAGTACTTCCTCTTCAGGTGGTCCTCCTTCTTCTGCTAAGAAAAGGAAGAATAACTACGGCAAACCGCAGAACAAACCCCATAACTCCTGAAAAAGCTCAGGTAAGCCTTCTGGTGGTTTTAAGGGTCCCAAGAAACCTGGGTCTAGTACCTAGGTTCTTGCCCCCTCGTACGTTAATGACAGCTTCCCCAGGGGAAAATTTACAAGTTCC